ATTCTGCTGTCAATAATATTTACTGTCCTATCTTTACTATAGCTAGTATATTATCTGTTGGTACTGTACTAGACCGGGGTCCGTAATACTAATATTCTATTTATTAAATATAGAGATATAATCTAATTCAGTATAGAGATAAATTAAAATTCTATTTTTTTTATTACTATAACTATTAGTATATTATAAAAATCTAAAATTTTTAAATAAATAATTTAAATATATATAAATTATTATAATATAGGACAATTCGCATTTACCAGGACACCGTTTTTGGCAACCCCCCATGCTGGGTTTAGCGCCCGTCCGTTGCGGGCCTGGATCGGTTTAGCGTCGTCCCGATCTGATATGGCTTCTTGCGCTATCCCGCAACAGGAACTGCCATCTGTCTCCGCCTTCACGGGTCCTCGTCGAGTATATAATTCTCTGTAGCGTCGCTCGACGACATCTCCTTCCCACGTCCTACGCTCCTCGTCAATTCGATCCCCTTGAGGTCGGACACCACCGCTCCGGCCCCAGAACTCTCGGTGATGGCCGTCCCCAGAATCTGTGCTCCGCTCCATTCTCTCTCCATCCATGTCGCTGCCAAGGGACGCTGCCGTCCACCGACATGGACATCGCGAGCATGAATTGCTGATCTTTCCTGGAAGGTGCGAGATGACTGGTGGTATGCCCTCGCCAGCCTGAATGGCCCGCCCCCGAAATCGTCTACTGGGGCGTTGGCGGTTGCCTACGCGCGCCCTATTCTAACCATCTATGGCATCCCTTTATTTAAGGTCTGCTTAGGGCCTATGGCTTATTTCTAAGCCAAGGACGACGACGTGTTGACGGGCATGCACCAGCTCAGCGCAGCGTAAATATCAATGACAGAATTCCGTCATGTTTTATCTCTGTCCGAAGGTCCACGCAGGAGCCATGTATCACTTTTGAGACGAAGCGATGACTTGTCCACGTGCGTGCGGTGTCTGTACCTGATCATCTGTACTTGATCCGCCCAGCTTGAACATCAATGGCAGGATTGCCTCATGTGCCCCGAGGGCGTTCTCCGTTCGCTTTGCTTGGGCGTTCAAGTGTGCCGTTGGGTTAACTACCAATGATCACATGTGACAATGCATTGTAGCATGCTGCATGATGATGTGGTTACGCTTGTGACTGTAACAAGGGTGGGGATGCTCCTGCACAGGATTGCGATGGCTTGGACCGGAAATTATGCAGACTCTGTGTGCTGTAAATTGCTGGCCCTGATCACGGGAAGACCGAAGGGATTGATCCCCAAAACCGGTCGAAGAAGGCTTCCACATGTTCTCGAAGACGCATTAATGAAGTCGTGACGTCAGTTGACACTCCGCCTCTTAGCCAATCAGCGTGATTATATCTGCCAGGAGATGGGTGATCTACTAGTAGTTAACTACCTAGTACTACTAGTAGTATATAACGATTGGCATCCCTGGCTGCCCACCTCTGGAAACGGACGTAGCTTTAACGTGACCACTATTCTGTAGGGTACCCAATGCTTGTGTACACTCAGCTTACATTGAAGATTAGTTGATCTCAAAACATGGTACCCAGTGCGTCCTATCTTTAACTATTGAATACCAAGCTGGCGACTAACCTTCCGCAGCACCTCCTCGGGATTGCAGACCTATCGTCATTTCTGGACCGTCGGGCGTCGGTAAAGAAACACTTGTCCAGAAGCTTTTTGACGAGCATCCCAACACGTTCGCATTCGCCGTGTCTCACACAACACGCAAGCCCCGAATTGGTGAAGTTGAAGGAAGAGATTACTTCTTCGTCACTCCCTCTGCATTTGACAACCTCATATCCCAAGAGGCCTTTGTTGAACATGCAATGTTCAATGGGAACCAGTATGGCACGAGCAAAAGAACAATTGCGGACCAAATGGCCAATGGGCTAGTTGTTGTGCTAGATATTGAAATGCACGGCATCAAACAGATGAAGGCCAACTCGAGCATTGACGCACGCTATGTCTTCATCAAACCGCCAAGCTTCGAGACTCTCGAGAGGCGTCTTCGAGGACGTGGCACTGAGAAGGATGGGGACATTCAAAAAAGACTAGCGCAAGCGAAGGCTGAAGTTGAGTATGCGGAGACTCAAGGTGTTCATGATAAGATCATTATCAATGATGATCTTGAGAGGGCATTTAAAGAGCTCGAGGAGTTCGTTTACGGCTGAGTTTTTCAGACAATCAATGTTTATCAATGTTTTGTTGATATACGGAAATCCGAATGAATCATTCAAGTGCACGTTAATCAACTTGCTGGGAAGGCATAAACTCTCTCGCGAAAGAGGACATCGTCCAACTTTAACGAACGCGACCGTGTATATCTGACTGCTGAGTCTGCAATCATTCATGCCTCCTAATTGGTGTGGACGGTGCAATTACTGGGACTTGGGACGCAATTTATGAAGCCAAATATGAATAATCTTGGCGGACTGCTGCTTGGTATCCACTTGTGTCTTATTGCGTTCCGACACATGAGAGAGATCACTGGCTCGAAAACACTGCAAGCCCCAAATTTTAAATGACGTTCTCTATATTCCTATCCGAAACCATTGTGATCAATACTCTACTCCTTTACCTATATCCACGAATACAGATATAAGCGAAAAAACGCCAGCAAGTCCCTGAAACTCATAGAATTAAGAATTTCTTAGATGTCTGGCTTGCTAAACATGATCTATATTGTAAAACTGCTGACCAGTCCAGCATCCAAGGCGAGATGGCCGAGCGGTCTAAGGCGGTTAGTACCACTATGAAACATCCATCTATTAAAACAAATAACTAATAATCTCTCAGCTGGAGTAAGGTTCCAGTCTCGAAAGGGGCGTGGGTTCAAATCCCACTCTCGTCAGCATCTTTTTTTACTTTTGAACTTTTTGCTCGTCCGCGAAGTAGTGGGTACCCGGGTGGTTGGGGAAAGAGCAGAACATCGATCTCGCATATGAATTCGGGTATTAATTAATGTCTCAATCGGGCGCTGCATAGCAATTACATTATACCCAGCCCCTTCGCGTAACAACTAATGTAAGGTTCGAGCCCTTCCATTGCTTAACCCGGAAGTTCCCTCGCAGTATCCCCGTATAGTTCTTGCGGTCGCTCGTTACGGGGCATCTCTTTCGCATCACCGACCTGTACAGGATACTCGACAACTGGAGGACCATTCGCCTCTGCCTTCCTCCTTCGACGGAGCAAGTACCATCCTAGTATCCCTATGAGCATAACACCGGCTGCAGACCCAACCCCAATGCCCGCGGCTGCACCTGCGCTTATGCTACTCGAAGAGCTGGGCTCAGAGGTACCGGAAGAGGTACTGGAAGAGGTACTGGAGGGTGATGATGTTGCACTCGAGTCCCCTGGGTCGGTCGCGGTCTATCGCGTTCGTATACACATGTTAGCTAGCAAGACCTCAACGCAGGGATTGGAATCCCACTGCATACCGGACTTGTATGGCTGATGCCCATCGCAAAGAGATGGAGATTGGTTGCCTGGTTAACATCCTTAAAGTCGATTGTATTCGCAGCGAAGTCGGTCACGGTGACCCTTCGTTTCATGGAAGTATCATACTGCGACATACAAGGAAACCAGGGACCGTGGGGATTCCGGCTCGCGTTGTCAACGCAGCTAAACGAGTAGATGCTAAAGGAGGAGCCATCAGCGGATGTTCTTTGCGTACGGATCGAACCCAATGGCATAGATCAGCCGTACGTGGGGCAGCAAACTGTCGTTGTTGGTGTCGCTGACGCGGTCGACAGACAAGCAGAGGTGTAGCCCGTCGGGCATTGTGTTCCGGCATACGCACGGGAGGGATCCCAGGTCGATGGGAGGCAGTTGGTGGTCTGAGATGGGCCTCCTAGTACCGTGCGTTGATCATTTTCTGCGTGGTAATCCCAGATCCAAAAGTCGCCTTTCCTGTTACAGCCGTATACTGATGGCGTCCAGTCGGGGTCGAGGGTGGGGCTGGGCGTTATTGTTGACATGGTAAATAGGCTCTGACGTGCGAGGACATATCTGTCAAGGGGGAGAGTCGGTTGATTGCAGAAGAAGCCAGCCTTATGTGGTGCAATTCCTTATCCCTAGCTCGTATCTACCTTTCTTGGCTGCATGCTCTGTCACGGGGCTGGGATGACCATGTTTCTCCGATCAATTGTGCCGTTGTTTTTGTGAGCGGTTGCGAATCTTGGGTATGCTAGCTTCGCCGGTACATTCGAGAGTCTTTAAAATAATATAGTCAGTGTGGCTGAGTAATTAAGGCCAGACTCGAAGAAACCCGAAATAGGTGGTACATTGATGTGTGTAGTTGAGGAGGAGGTGCCGAGCCGCTAGCATGGCATACTATATGACAGCCAGTTATGTTAAAGGCGGCGCGCATGCTGAGGGACGCCGGACGGCTGCCCGGCGAGTGCTGCTCCGAGGGATTTGGCCCCCCTCCCCCAAACAATGAACTCTTGGTAAAGCACTTAGATTCTGATCAAAACAGTTCCCCCGTCTTGGGCCTATCAAAATACTGGAACCCCACTTTCAACAAGCGATCGCCATGTGCATACTTGTTCCGTTCCTCCAGCCTGGCTGGCCTCTTTCCTTGAGTGCAAGCTCTCTGACCACCTTCGCCATCGTACTCGCATGTTTAACCCCAAGATCATCGCCTATGACATCCAGCTGACTTGCAATCCACATCCGCTGAACGGCATCTAACCCCTCCACAATGCCTGCTACGTATAGTGGCCATGCAACTTGAGATGCCGACACTAACCTTGCGTACTTCCCCTGAGGATACGCCTTAATTGGGTATTGTCTCTCGGTAGAGCCCATGCATCTATATCCCAAATGGTACAGCATGGACGCGCATATATCATTGGCAAGATTGCGGATCTTCACACGTGTCGTAGCCATATCGCTAGCTAGACTGCCCAGAGGAATTGATGCCGTAGTGGCACGATTGCTGGCGGCGAGGAGATGATAGAAACGGAGACGCAAGTGGCATGTACATATTTGCAAAGTGCGATAGCGCGCCCATTCATTCGCGGCCCAGAACGATGAGTAGAGGTGTGCTACTGGTGTCCATAGATTCCAATCCTCGGAAGGGACTACCATGGTGGTATATATCCAATCTGTGGGCAGGGAGCTCGACCATTGTGAAAGCTGGTGGGTGATCGCATTCATCGAATTGAGTATATCAGCGATGGTAGTTGAGGAGAGATGTCCTGAGCTCAGGATGCTAGCAGCCTCTGAGATTTGTAAGTGGAGAATGGCTAGCTTGCAAAGGTGAATCTGTAGCTGGGACCTCAGAGAGATGAAAGGGGCCCGAAGCAGTGCATCGTGCAAGGCGAGAAGCTCTGGAATCGTGAAAGGGAATTCCTCAACGGTATGGGTTATGTCGGTGATGAGGCAGGCGGGCATCTTTAAACGTATTAGACCTAACGGGCCACAGGGTAGGTGGGCCTTACGAATCGGGTGAGGAGTGCTATATATAAGCCTTTGCTCGTCTCGTCCTGAAATGAGACTAGGTCTTGCGACTTCACAAAGGCGATGGCACCCCCGAGATGTGGATTGAATATGGATTGGTCGGAGCAGGGGTTAGTCAGATCCTTGACATGGTTAGCGATTGTTGCATCAGAGAAAGATGCGCTTCTTCAACAGTTAACATGAAAAACATCTGATGCAATAGGCACTGTACCTCGTACATACTAAGCACCAGCATGGTGAGCATAACTTCATTTCGCCTACTTGTAGGGTTACTACCAGTTATCTGGCGGGTGAGCTGGAGAGCCCTGTGGTAACTGTCTATGGCTTGTTCTTGTGCATGTCGACCGTTATCCTTTCGCACAATGAACGTAAGGATGAGTGCTGATAAAGCTGGCAGAAGTGGCGAGGAAGGCATGAGTGATGGGCTGAGTTGGGGTATATAAGTTAAGCAACCACCGTAGACGCTGGCAGCCTGTGGGAGACGGACAAGGTCTACATAAAGACGATGTAAATTGGCTTGATCAAGTGTCGCACTAGGAGAGCGTAGCAGAGTAGTAAATTGTGCCCTCATCCAGACGCTTCCCCAGAACTCATTGCTTTGAATAGTAGCTTGGCTATTTCGTTTAGCCACGAGCATGTCTACATTTGACCCTGGCGCTGTGCTCTGTTTCTCAGGCGTATGGTTGGCATCCGAGTCACAATAACCCCCACAATGACGTTTGGCTTTCGTGCATCGCAGACAGATTGGCTTTGTCTCATCGCACTGGACTGTGATTAGCCGGATTGAAGATGATATCAAGATAAATCAACTCTGTACTTTGACTTTGCGAAAGCGACAGGTATAGCACCCACGACTTGGGTGTCCCGGGTAGACCATAGTGCAAGATGCTTACTTCTGTAAGTACCTACGCAGTGGAACCTTGATTCCTGAAGCAGTCCAACAGCTCTCTGAAGTATGGCTATCTTCCTGATGTTCCCCCTCATCTTTCAATATTCAACACTTGGCGAAGCCATTGAATGGAGCTCAAAGGTCACCGATGTGTCATTTTCGTCTTGTCGGTATAGGGCATCGGCACGCACTGCCCCGCTTGGCAGTTGATCCCCGCCTTGAGTTAGATGTCCCCTAGCGCTTCGGTAACGACTTAGAAGCCGGAAACCCAGGCTACCATCCAAGGGTATCGATCATTTAGATCAGCACATTGGGGTGAACCGTGCTGGGTGGCCACACATCCTTTGAGGGCCATTAGTAATGCATCGAGCGGGGTTATAGATTTCTCAATTGCACCGGAAGAAGTTGCATTGGCATTAGGCATGAGACTGTGCATTTGATATGGATCGGCTGGTGTGTGGTTAACACCAGTGGTTGTCAACAGAGAGGATAGAACTCATCGTCAGGTTATACATCCCATTCTCATTATTGCAGTGGACAGAATAATACAGGTTGTACTCTTGGCTAATCAAACGAAGCGTCTTATATGTGTTCTCCGCCTGTCTGTTGCCCGCGATGCCGCGGAGTTTTCCACTACCAGGATTGGAAATGGAGAGAACCCATGCCTCCGCCTTGTTTATCAGTGCCGTATAGGCCTATAACATCAGCCTTGCCCTAGTATTCCACATTGACATGCTCGTGGTTCGCCGACTCTAGACTCTGGAACATGGACTTTGGATAACCTCTTGCTAAAAGCCAGTAAAGCGAGTGCTTAGTTATGGCTACAACCATTCCATAGAAAGATTCGATGTCGGTGAAAATCGCAATACTGAGCTGCCTTACCTGTTCACAGGCTTAATTTGGACGGGCAACGGAGGGCGCTGATAGACGTTCGCTTATCTGTTGCTCCGCAGAGAATCGTGGTGCCACAAAGGAACCTAAATGCTCCTTTGTTGCAAGAGGTGCTCTTAGACATGGGATATGTAGTCTAGAGAGGCCATATGTGCATCTTGCTCATCAGTGAGAACGAAAATATGTTTGGTATCTTCGAAATCACAGTGACTGTCAATAAAGGGAATGACAAGCTTTGTAGCATATTCCTTGCCATCCACCATGCTCTATTTGAGATGCTGTCGATATGGACACTTGAGGACTTTCGTGCTATACATAGAGTGGTGAATTGGGAAGGCTCGGCATTAAATAAATAGTACAATTGGTCTAGATGCATGAGACTTAGTCATTAATCAACCAATTAGTTACCATGATAGGGACCTATTTAACCTCCCGGGTGGCCGACACAATGACAGAACGACGGAGCATATGCTGGCTTGGCCGGACTACTGACACTCGCAAGGCTCGTAATCCTTAGAGCCTGACCGTGCTAAATTGCAAGCAAACACGAGTAGTGTCGACCTGAACGTTCATTTAAAACGATGATAGGTCGTCACTACGCAGGAGGCGTGGACACGATGCCGACATGAGCGACACGATTGGAAGCCTCCCGATAAAGACATTGGCAAAAATGATCCAAGAGTAAACGCTCTCAAGCAGACTTCCGACTGATGCATAAATATCCGAACAAAGCTCACTGATGTTAGTCCGGCCTCTCGCAGGCACTGACACCAAAATACGAAGAGCCTAGCCCAGCATTCAACATCAATGACGGCCTTACACTTTGATACCCCGGATTATCGAATGGCTGCTAATACGAGATGCTCGCAAGATCCCTGTCACTCTTTAAGGGGATGATTGGAGGAAATGAAGCTCACTGTGGGTCTTGGGATGAGGAGTTGAAGCCAAGCTGGAGATCCGCACTGCCAACGCCAGCCATTGGCCAGTGTAATCAGTCAGATAGATTGGTCTTTGAATGTTTGAAGCAAGTAGAACAATATAATCTATGATATATATAGCGCATGGCGGCCATGGAAGTCCATGGTATCAGAAACATCAGTACACAAAACCAGACACAATGATCGGCAGGCCTTTATCAATCTATATACTCCTAGTGTTCATCTCTATGGTGGCATGCCTTAAGCATATCAATCCGAGTCCAGATGAGGCAACTGTATTCTCCTTGGTTGTAAGTTTTACTGTAGCATTTGAAGCATGGTTGAGGGCGACGACTGACATACTATCTAGTATGGTTATCCACTGGTTTCATATGCCACATTCGCCCTCCGAACACTGACCAGGCTGAACTCAACCAATAGCTTTTATCATTTGCGAGAGCTGACAACGCCTGAAACTACAGCGGTGGTGCGACCCAATGTTGACACCTTGTATTCTGCGGCTATCCTTGATCTGTCACATCACGATCTCATTCTGGATGTTCCAGTTGTTGATGAGCGGTTCTGGGTATTCCCTTTCTATGACGTGTGAGTTGGAGCCTTCTAATCCCGCAGCAATACACTGCTGTAGCTGACTTCCCACGAGGTACGGAAACAACTATGCAAACCTCGGTACTGTCTCTAACAGCTCTGCCGGCAAGTACCTATTGCGTTATTCTCCGAGCAGTAAGGAGCCAGCTGGGGTACAGCTTTGCGACGAGACGCAATCTGAGGTGTACGGGGGCTGTAGAGGTCTTAGAGGATGGATTAATTCGCCTACTCCTTATGGTGCTATCCTTGCACGACTTGTCCTTAAGAATAACGGAACAGACGTCGACAAAATACATGCTATTCAAGACCAGATCCAGATAGCTACGATACCGAGAAAGCGTGCTCAGAATATCCCGCCGCTAACGGTCCCGATGCTGAACTCATCTCTTTCCTCGGACCCGGCCACCAGAGTCATGCAGATGACAGCACGCTTCGCACCGCACAACCCGCCGCGCAACCATTCAGACCTTGCTAGAGTGAACCGCAACCTCAATGCGGCCGGTATTCAAGACGGCGTTTACAGACCTCAAGTTCGAAACCTCACAGCAGCTGCTGCCACTGCAGCCGCTACTATTTCGAAAGCCTTTACTTTTCCTGCTAACCATATTGACTTGGAAAACAAATGGCAATCCGTCTCTGATACCGCACAGGGTGACTACAACACGAACTATGAGATGCGAGCGTTTGTGACTGGTTGGGCATACCTTATCGTGGATGCAACCGTGGCTTTGTATCCAATGTATGACCCGACGGCGGGTAGTTCGGTTCACGAATTGGGTGCCAACCAGGCATACGTTTTTACCTTCAACAGGAAGCCCCCACTCGCTAAAAATGGCTTCTGGAGTTTGACATTATACAACGCGGACACGTTTCTCATTGAAAACCCGCTGGATCAGTATTCTCTTGGTGATCGATCGAACCTTACTTACTCAGATGGCATACCTGTGTATGGGGGGGATGACCGGGATGAGCCTTTTCAGATTCTCATCCAGCCAGCTGATGTTGAACCGCCTTCCAATTGGACATCTAAGTGAGTTAGCTGATAAGTCTATTTCACAAGTTGCCTGCAACAGCGACTAACGCTGTGTAGTTGGTTACCGGGACCACCTGGTGGGGGGCAGATTGACATAAACCGTAAGAGTCCCGCATTCTTTTCAGCTTTGCAATCTTGATATTAATGTAGCCGATAGTTCGCTTCTATGGGCCGGACGATGGACTGCAGGACGGTTCGTGGGAATACCCAGTAGTTAAGAAGCAGCAGGCGGTCTCCAGGACCGGTGCTCAGAAATAACGCTAGGGCTATAGGTTTGCATTCGGAGGAGGGTTTTCTCTTTGTACAGTTGTTGCTACGAGAACTGGAGCTTATGAGATATCGAGAGAGACTCAATATTTACCTCGGGGAATATAAAGCATATCATAGAAATTGCTGGTACAGCTAGCTATAACATTGAACCACTATTTTCTTTATATAAAACATAATAGCCCTGAGCTCGTCTTGTACGCATATACCCCCGTGTTGGTGTGGGTATATGTGACTGTGCAGCCTGTCAGAGATACCCCGGAGACCATGTTTATTGTGCTATACAGCCCTAACAGTTATAGTCTGCTGCATACGGCCATAGGGTGTGGAAACAAGGCTTCTCGTTCTATCAGCCGTCCTCTTGCCGCACTTGACCCCCGTTGATATTCCGGCCTTGCTTGTTATCCCACCTGCCCTGTATGGACGCTCAAACTATGGCGAAATTTTCTATAGTGAAGGACTGCAGATGACAGCCAGGCCCTACTTATTAATATCGTTCCAGATAATATTATGAAATTTATTGATATTCATATTGCTACGAGTCTTCAGCCGACTTTGCATCTCTATGCATACCCCAGATTCCAAAAATTCTCAATATTCTTCTTAGTATCCTCATCCACATAGGCTGGAGCTCCGCAAAGGTGATATGCTCGCCGTGTAATTCCGCAATCTTGCCCGTTAGCGACTCATCAGCTATGAACTGCGCCACTGCATTTGTTGCAGTAGACATCGGCGTTAAAATCATTGATTTAAATAAATCGTTACTTGTCGCAATATTCGTTTCTATCATGTATTAGCCAGTCCAATCTTCCATTCCGCTGGCGTGTAGAGGACGCGTGAAGTATTCTAAGCCAACTCACCGATCACGGCAGGAGCCAATGAATTGATCCGGATCCTTTCAGCTGCCAGTGGGCGAGCGAGAGATCGTACGAGCCCGACCACACCAGATTTCGTGGTTGCATACATAGGCGCCATAGGGAATGGGTATAGGCCGGCATTTGAGGCAGTGCAGACGATCAGTCCATTTGAAGAAGCTGACGGATCACTTGTCGCATTTTTGTACATGTAGTGAATGGCAAGATGGACAGCTGTTGAGGCGGGAGACTTAACATTACTACTCCGCCCACATGGAGCTGTACAGTTCTCGACTGGGGCATAAAACTTACTGTATATGGCTCCCACTAGATTCACATTCAAGGTAGTGAGGTTAGGCTTGGGTGGTCCCTCGCTGCCATCTTGCTTTGCGGGCAATAAGCTTCCCTTCTCGGTAATCCCCGCGTTGGCGAAGACAATGTCGATTCTGCCTTGCTCGGCATATATTTTCTCAAATACAGCAGCCTGACTTTCCCAAGAAGACACATCGCATTCTTCGAATGAGACGCTAGCCGATGGATGCTCGGCTTGGAGCTCCTGGAGAGTCTGAGTACCGGTTTTTGGGTTGATATCGAGGAGGGTGATGTGAGTCTCAGGCTGTGCGATGAAGTGCCGGGTAATACCCAGTCCAATACCAGAGGCCCCTCCTGATCGAGGAATTAATGATGCCAGTTCATTGATCGTTTCCTGGGGAGGGTTCTCCGAGGTTCTTACCGGTGACGACGATGCTTCTTTTTGGTGACATATTGCAAATGTAGAGTTCAATGGGTAGAGTTCAAAGAAGAAAGCTGGTATTGGACTTTTCTATGGCATCTTCACATTCCACACCGGGGACCATCTCTGTGATAGATACAAAAGCCCCTCCTCTACAGTTCCCCACATCGCTGCCGGGGTATTCCCGAGATCGGCGGGTCTCGATGCATTCGACATCACGGAAATGAGTGTCCCCCGGCTCCTGGAAGCAGTGCCAGCCGACGACGCGGAATTAATGCTCTCACCACGTGTGAAATGCGTAATATAGTACACAGGGTGGCATAAATCTCTGCAAAGCCACTGTCCTTGTGTTGAAGAGATCCCAATTCGCAAGGCACTTCTGTGCCACCCCGGGAATGGTCTCGCACTGCTTTTCCTGAGATAGAAGGAGTTGGAAATAGACAAATACCATTCTTCAAAACCTTTACGTGATTCCAAGGGCTGTAGGTTGAATGGCTGAAAGGCGTACCGGGAAATGTTGTCCTCTTTGGACCCATGGTGGCTCCTCGGTAGTTGAGATCTGAAGGTCAATTGCCGGGCGTAACTATGACAGACGATCCTGGCTCCACAGTTCCTCGCCACGTTAAGGCTTTTTCTGCAGGTTTGACTGCGCGCGTTATTTGAATCGCAGAGTATCCAACCCTATCTCGCAATATGTGGAGAGCCTGTAATATGCTCTCTGGGTAGTCACCGTTGAGTTGATAGCTCACTGAACGTAGTTTTTGCTTGTTCCATATCATGAGTCAACCCTGTGATAGACTTAGCTAGTATATTGAGCATGAAGACACGGCACAAACCTTCTCAAGTCGGTAAACCCCCGTGGGGAACCCCAGATTCATCGGAAATTTCCCCATGACGGGGCTGTCAGGCCCCATATTCCCGACAAGCAACATTCACTCTGGCTACTCAGAGCTGTGCAATTATAATTCTCAATGAGGCGGACAGAGAACTATATGGAGAGGCGTTGCATGTGTGTAAATGAGGGGTGCGTAGAGGTTATAAACAGGGGGTTAACCTCCTAGCAAGGATCATCCACACTGTGCCCCATCTACGGGAGTAATCAGTAATTCATTCTAATTACTTACCAGGATTAGTACCTCTACCAGTACTAGTTCATCCTCTTGCATGGGCCTCATCTGCTGCCATTGCTTCTTTTCAACCTCTGTGTACCCAGTGCGAGGTGGCCAATTCCTAAAGAACAGTACAATTACTTAAAGCTGTCCGAAGCTCTCAAGATGCCGCTTGGTATTCTAGATGATAGTAAACTGGAACATGTTCCAGGAACAGCACCATTACATGGCCTTCATGAGACCAACACCTACTCCGGCATAAACCCCAGTCTTCTGAAACACGATTCCACCGGGCAAATCGTGCTTGTTCCCCAACCGTCTGACTCGCCGAATGACCCTTATAATTGGCCCCGGATCAAGAAAGAGCTTTTTACAATCGCCTATGGATGGGGCTGCGGCTGCGTTGGGGGTAAGATGCGGCGTGATGCGGTCCTCGTCCTGATGATGGACAAAGCTAATGCTTCATCTTCTACAAAATAGCGGTCGGTCCACTCCTCGGTGGCGCATTCGTCCCACTCGCGGCAGACTTTGGGGTCTCTCTATCGACATTTGTTTCGGCCGTCCAAGGCGGCCTGATCTCGGCTATCGCCGTTGGAAGTTTGATATTCAATTCCTTGGCTGTGAAATACGGGAAACGTCCGGTTTATCTTGGAACAACTGTTGGACTGATGGTGTCATGTTTTTGGGCCGCCGAAGCCAAAAGCTTTCGCTCTTTTGTCGCTGCAAGAGTTCTTTGTGGGCTTTGCATGGCACCTATGGAGGCTTTGGTTCCAGCCTCCATTGCAGATATCTGGTAGGCCTAGCTTTTGCAATTGGCTGTCTTATATGTATGAACTAATCGATTAGGTTCGTGCATGAGCGCGGGTTCCGTACAGCTATCTTCAATCTCGGCGTCCTCGGTGGAATCAATTTGGCGGTCCCGATAGGTAAGTTTGCTTTGAGCAATCTTGATCAATACACTTTCTGATCACCCACAATAGCGGCTGCAATCATTGAGTACGGATCGTATCGAATTGCATTACATGCGATGGGTGGTGCCTTTGCTCTCGCGTTGATAATGGTCTTCTTCTGGATGCCGGAATCCGCATATGTGAGAGAAACACTGAGTATTGATACTGGAGAAACAAATGTGTGTGGTCCTTTCACGGCCTTTTTATATCCTCATGCTAAGTTTTGGTAGGTTGCCGTCGAACAAAAGCTAGACGTGGAACAGCTCGAAAATACTCCAAGCACTAGAATCCAAGCAGCCGACGCGCGTCACTCCTGGGCCAAAGAGCTACTACCATACAGCGGTTATGTCAACGATGTCTCATTCTGGAATACTATCATCCGGCCATTCTATCTTTTGGCTTCGCCACCTGTTCTTTGGGCTGTGCTTCTTTTCACCAACTGTATAGCATGGCTCGTGGGTATTTCCCTCACCCTATCCCAGATTTTCTCCGCACCACCATACAACTTCTCCGTGATGGGCGTTGGAGCAACGAACTTGTCGTCCTTTGTCGCATCTGTCCTTGGCACTTTCAGTGCCGGACCCCTGATTGATGGTCTGGTTACCAAAATGTCCAAAATGAACGGCGGCCTCTTCGGTATGCTCTTTCTCTGCCGATATCTTCATACCTATTACTTACCAATATCTATATAGAACCCGAGTTCCGCCTACCGATTATGGTTACGTACCTTTTGTTCACCTCAACAGGTTTCTTTGCCTGGGGCCAGTCTTCATATGCACAGGACCCGTGGCCTGTACCGGTGATTGTGTGCTTAGGAATGATTAATTTTGGTGTCCAGCTGGGCACCACCGGCGTTGTCACCTACATTGTGGACTGTCACCGCGAGAAGGCCGGTGAGGCCTTTGCAACGATGAACTTCTTCAAGAATCTCTTCGCATTTGGGCTGTCGTTCTACCTCAATGGGTGGGTTGATAACCAGGGTGTCCGTAACTGCTTCTTCACTATTGGTGGAATCACAATGGGTGCCACATTGTTTACTATCCCTATGTGAGTGCCACCTTGCGCCAATAATTGGTTGATGACATATATTGATATGTGTTTGCACTAGGTATATCTACGGGAAACGAGCCCGAAGCTGGGTACATCGACATGGAATTGCTGATCGACTGTAAAGGACCAAGCTGTCCATTGGTTGTGAAAGTGTCTTAAATCACTATAGGCCTTACTAGTATACAGGAGTCATTCAGGATCACTCTATAGGGTCATATGATATTGGTATACATTACTCTCAAGTCTCATACTTTATCTTGTCCAATTCTTTTGTATTCCAATCCCTGCAGAAAAACCATCGACTCAACCACTCCCGTCGCTACTTCTCAAGCCAGGTAGTAATATCTCCAGGGGGTACCGTATTCATTGTTGATCAGAGAGAAGTGCAGACAGTGAGGGGAGTTCCAATAGTGCCCGCCTTCACGCCACGCAGATACAATGAGATAGTCATCATACTTTAGTTCTTATAATACCGAGTTAGATTCTCTGTCAAGCGTCTGATTGTTTGTCGTAGCCGTAGAGTGAGTTTTGTCAGCTTTGTACAATCCAAGACCAAGATCCAGTAACGTCGGGATATAAGCATCGCAAGTATATGGGACGCGGGCCGCGATTCCCACCCTCGAGTGGATGCTAACAACTGAATTTCTCTAACCCTATTTAGATTGGTCGGAGAGCTCTCAGTAAGAGGTGGTGCGTTGTAGCTTTACTAGCCTTATTCTTGTTTGTAAACGTCGGCAGGTTAGCAGTTGAGTGATGACCACCAGCAGATTCCTGATTTTGCTCGTTTTCATAGATCTTTGTTGTCTTCTGTTGGGTATCCTGATAGTTGTTCTTTATAGTTTGCTCGCTCTGCATGTCTTTCCCATCTGTCACAGTAGACAGACTAACTTATTTAGATAGGGTAATGCTGCTTTGACAGATATAACAATGAAAGTTCCTCGATACGGCTTCTTATAGGAATCTTAGCTGTCTTTATGGCAAATCCCTGCAGAGACTGTTGCAAAATCCTCCAGAGAGGTAGTTCATACATCATGCCAAAGAACCGAAGAGTGACTTATAAAAACACATGCAAAATATCTTATGATGAAGCTGTAGGTATACAGTGCCCATCGAGGGCCTAGTACCTGCTAATGCAAGTCATCTAGTCGATCACCGCGCTAAATATACTTGATAAAAGAACGCCGGCATGCATAGACGAACTTAACAAGGCGTCTGCTGATGGGATACCATTTTCCACGCCCCTTCGTCTGTTTTCCGCCAGGTACTGGAACACAGTGCGTTGAAAATAACAGTCTCTTTTGCTTCACTGCGTGCCTTATGTTCAAACTCCTTCTCTGCCGTGACCTTATAACAAATGACACCACTGGCACCATGGCAATCAAGAAGTCGAACGTGGCTATCTTCAATCCTGTATCTCTTCCAGGGCGTGAACGCCTCGCTAGTCAAAGTTGATTTGAGCGTCGGGTTCGATTCGTTTGTAAGCAGCATGCCTCCAGGGAAGAGCATTATAACGTCATCGGCAAGTATGGGAAGGAGGGCGGGGCCTGAGGTACAGAGAGCCTTCCAGGCTTCTTGCTCATAGGCCAGGATTTCGGCGGCAGAACCCATGGTCTTAACAGCATAGGTAGAAGCAAGCGTTGGCGGTAGTTGCTTTATATGTTTACCGGCTGTGGGCCAATCGTTATCGCCTTGAGGACTCTGGCTTGAACTGGAATCGAGTTCTAGGACCAGGAAGATAGCGGTGGGGTGACCCCTCTGTTTGCCGAATACGAGGTTCATTGTTTTAGTGTGATCTTCATGTAGGGCTCAGAGGCTTCAGCCTCTCAACACCAAGGCCTTACGTCTCTGATGGAGATTATGATACTTCTATCAGAACGGTATTCTAGTGAAGGCTACCATGTGTTATCTTTTAACGTACTCACAAAAGTCGAAGTACGCCATCTAATAGGATATTCGATCTCAAGTAGTAAGGCTACCTTATACTCCAAGCTATGTGATATACAAACCAAACCAGCTTTAGTTGACATCGACAGCATCCATCAGCATGCAATATCCGTGCTTCTGTCCCGTGGACCCGTATTTGGCCAAGTCAAGATCTAGATTCTCGCCGACATCACGGAACCCACATCTCTTGTAGAGTGTATAACCAGCCCGCGAAGCCTCTAACCATGCCGGTAGCTGGAGACGCTTTGCCTCTTCCACCCCGGCCATTAGTAACTTGGTTCCGATGCCGCGACCCTGATACTCTGGATGAACCACCAAGATCTGTAGGACTATGTTTATATCTGTCAGGCGTATTTGCCCACCTCCACAAGACAATAACAAAGCCAAAGAACGAAAGATAAAAAAGAGAAGAAGGAAATACTCACTCGCAACCGCTTTACCCCCAATCCACTTTTCCCTCTTCTGCACCACCGTCTGACGATACTCCAAACATGCCTGCGGACAAATCGATCTCGGCGGTGGCGTGGCGCGCTTCTTCACTGCCTCCTGTTCCGCTTTTATATGGGCCTCAGCATCGCGGTAGATAATCCACCATGACCATCCCACAATCCGACCCGACTCGTCATCAACAGCCTTCAGAAATCGAGCGTAGGGGTTTTCGCGGATGGCTTTCTCCAAGTCATTAGCCAAACCTACGGCGTTTTCTTCGCGAGGGCCGTACATGACCTCAAGGAGAATGTCATTGGGGAAGGCTTTGCTGTGGATTTCGTCGAGGATGGTGGCGTCGGTGGGGAGAGCGGGCTGGAGTGATATACTCTTGCTTTGGGACATGATAGTTATAGTTTTGTTAGATACGAGAGATGATGTTTGGATTGTATTTACGGGTAATGAGAAGGGGTGTATCTTGCGGGGACCGACTTCTTGAATCTTAGTGAGATGCTTGAATCTATCAGCATTTTGTGGGCGAAACAATCGGCTAGCAATGAGACAGCGCTAGGCCTTATTAGGCAGTGTTAATATCAGTAGTTTATGAATCGATTGAAGGGGTTGCGGAAAGTTGATGCCTTCGACTAAGATGCTAAATTGCGACGCTGATGAAGCTAGCGTTGGATCGCGACGTTGATAGGCTCGGACTCGCCCGGGGTCAGGTAATGTTTAATATCTGGAGAGTAAGCATGTCCCTCCAGGCCCACTCGGTTGCATCATTCAGAACGGGGCTACCTTGTGCAGACGTCAGTAATAACAGACCCGCAAGCTTCGTGAATGACTGGCCGGTATGTACGTGTAGCAAGGGAGTTATGGTGGATAGCGGAAGTAGAGTCCCATCAAATATTTACAAATGTAGTCCAGAAGCCAAATAAAACAATGCATGGGGGTTGATTACATATAATTAGCTATTAGACATTAGAAAAGGCCAACATCGTATGTAAACAGGAGAAATCATCATAGCGTTGCAACATTAGTTCAAATATCCCGGCTCCTCGAAAGCGAGGCTGAGCCATCAATATCATACCAGACTCATACCGCCATAATCCAGTGAAAGTGCCCATTCGTATAACCTCATACAGTACGGTCGAGGTCAATATCCTGATCCTTCGAGTCGCTTTTCCGCGTCTTATGAGTTGCACGACACGCCCACACGAAAAACCCAAAATGGATGACACTAATCATTAGTTAGCGAGAGAAATTGGAACGGGCAGAGTTAACCTACACCGCAATAAAAGCCATGGCCGTGCCGAAATGCTCGACATTGGCCACAAGCTTTCCATCACAATTAGGTCCACCGTTGATGCCACAGCTATATCCGTCTCCAGTATAATACGGCTCCATGAGCATCAGGTATATTATCAGAGTGATAACCAGCGCGGCCCAAGCGAAAAGGTCAAAAGTAAGATAGATGGCGGGGTGGATCGGGACGGGAAGAGATAATTCAATAGATGCTATTATCAGCGACCAAACAAAGGTGTACTCGGCCTGTAGTATAGCATCAGCAGCTTGTCTGCGTGAACAAATCGTCAGGTACTGACCGCTCCGGTGACCGGACTGACCACCGCATGGCCCAAGTCTTCCACAATCACCATGTCACTTTCAAACATCGATTGAGAATACCCAAAAGCTATCAACGCAGCAAGGGAGCTGATGGCCGCGGCGAATCGCAGGCAAACGGAAGTACGCGGTGTGCGCATCTTGTGTATGTAGTAGGGAAAACTGTGCTTGCTATTCAACGGGCTAATTTTCTCGAGCAGGTAGGGCCACAGTAAGCAATGTGTTATTGCAGGATATGGTTTAATGGCCACCTACGCTGCTTAAATAAAATCGATCTTTCGTTTGGTGTGCATCACACATTCGATCCCTTCCGGATATCATCAGCCAAGACCCAGATACGAGGCAGAGCCACTTGCCAACGATGCAGATCACCACACGTGTCGGGAAATACCAAGATATGCACAGCCTCCAACCAACCATATATTTGTTCAGGCGAGCACAGTAGCATACCCGATGGGGTTAATGCTGCACTTTGATCTTGGTACTGCGCCTCCATTGAATGTCTGATCAGCGTATATTGCGTACCTGAATTTTCAATGCGCCTGCATAGCTTGGTGCATAGATAAGCTAAGATCAGCCTCGGTAGAGCTCCACCATAATCTTGTTTGCACCAGGCTACTACTTAAGTGATTGAGATGGTTGAAGATATCGCACTTACTGCCTGTTGTAATTATTTCAAATCGTCTGCGCTATTCAACACTATTACATCGTTTTGGCACAAACTATCATAGAGTTGGGAAGATAGGCTTTCTATGTGCTTGTCTATACTTAAAGTTATATATTAGCGAATTTGTACTTAATCCTTGTCAATAAAGCGCTACTACAGGTTATCGAATTAATTCTTTTCCATAGGAAAGAAGTCCATGATAACAAACGTCCGAGACTAATACAGTTGAACAGTTTCAATCTAAGCTTCGAACCTGCATGTTCCCTGCACAAGAACCCAGCAACTGCATACAGAACGAGATACAGATCCATCAACAGCACTCAAGGATAACTCCAGTTAAACAAACAGTGAAACATGTAAAGAAAAATACCACATGTTTAATCAATTTCGGGATGGAGTCTGTCCTTGTATCCATGACAGCTGATCGCACCATTGCCCCCGACTTTCACCTTTGGAACTATAGCCATTCAGTTAGAAAGCAGTCTCAACCCTGGTATGGAGAATACTCACCCAACTCGAATCTCGCATCAGCTTTGCCTGTTTCTCCTGCCTTCTTGTCACATTTACATGTGAGTGTGAATGACATCCCTCTTTCTGGGGTCTTCCCCTTGTCTGCTGTCTTTCCTTTCCCCGATTCCTCTTCTGCCACAGGTTGCCCCCCCTCTACCTTGCATTCTGAGCAATGGCCCTTCTCGATACCATTCCCACTAGGTTCGTTAGCTGTCCGCCATAACACGAGAGAGGACAAGGTAGCATGGCATATGATACGTACTTAGCTGTCCAAGTAAATTCTCCATTTTGCTCATTCCAACCGAGACATTTGTCTAGGGGAAGCCTTGAAACACCAATGCCCGGGTTTTGATTGGGGTTACTACCACGTCGGGGTGGGTTTTCCTGCGGAGATTCGCCGCCTGTCTGGGGTCTTTGTTTGGTGAGTTTACCGACATCTCGGGGCGGACACTGTGCCACAAGGTGCCATCTACTGCGGTCCCACTGCTTTAGGACGGTTGCCTCGACTTTGGAACACACATAGAGCTCCCGTTTTGCGTGTTTGAGAGATCCCGTTATTTTTGACCCAACACGACGTAGGCCACCTCTGATGCCCCCCTCGCCTGCGGTGGAGCCCTCGCCTGTGGGCTGGGTCGCAACCAAAACGGAGAGGATTAAAGTGATGATAATCCAAGCACGGTACATTTTTACTGGAAGATCTGACAGTAATAACACGAAAGTAGGATATATATATATGTGTATGGGGTATATGGAGAAACGACAGAGAGTGGATGGAATGGGGAATTTAGAGAAACTATCCTTCTAGAAAGACCTCTCCTGGGCACCAGGTAGGGGGTTTATATAAAATAAGGCACGCGTGAGTACTTCTAGTCTCTGGTTGTGTTTGGCCAGTTTTTAATAATGCAGTGAGCTAAATTTAGCCCCTTGAGCCATTCAATATAAATATTCTGCCGTAAGAGAGGTCCTTGTTTCCTTTGTTGAAACGGCTTAGGGCGCTGGGCGACTGTTTCGGGAGTACAACATTCATTACGCTTTTGTACGTCTGTATAACGTTACCCCAGTTATTTAGGGGGTAGTTGAAGAAACTTCTAAAAGCGCGAACCTCTTTGCCAGCTGCATTACCTTACCTAGAGGAGATATATTTTAATAACCGCACTACCTGAGGCCTGGAGGCGTGTCACACACATCCTTAGCGATTGCCCGACTGATGTCGGCCCTTTGAACGCGATGTCCGACCTCAGTAATACAACCAAATCAAATCAAATTCTAGAGTCAAGAGTTACTACCCATGCCTTGGATTGGAAGGGGATCGTATACGGTGCGTCCATGGGGTCTCAAATTATGATTTTAGTATACCGGTTTCTTATCGAGTTGTATTGCTGATCTTAAGATGGGTGGATTCCTGATTTGCATTTCTTGACAAGTCTTTTGCAAAGCTTATCTATCCTTTCAATTTCTTTCATTATTGACTGGATATCTTGGACTTAGTGAGCGTAAAGCGCAACAGTATATTCCCTATCTCGTTGGTACCAAGGGTAAAATTGCTCCAGAATCAACCGCATTTGAACTCGGTTCATTGGGACAACTTAGCGTCGTACCAGAAATCGATTTATCGGCTATATTAGAGGCTAAGGCCATCTATTCACTCTGAAGTTGTGACGAGAAACCCGTTGCTACCTAGCATGATGCATTGATATCAGTGAGAATGATTGCTGTTTACGGCACATATATTTTAAAAGGGTAAAGAAAAGGAAAAGAAAGGATTTGATTCTAGCCCTTCCCGACAACCAAGAATCATTCGAAAATTCTAACATACTTCTAAGCCGAAGAAGTCGCTTTTGTTGGTTTCAAAATTGGAGCTTGGCTGACCTCCTGATTCAATCTATGGGCCCAGATTCCGGAGAACAACTGTTGTCTCTACTGTGCCGAATATTGGGGTCGAAGTTACCCCCAGCAAGGACCCACAGAAGGGCTTTCTAGTGTACGTACTCCGTATATTTATAGAGATTACTCCGTACATGAGCCGAGAAGGCTTTGACAGAAAAAAGCTTCAGTGCTATGACACCCTGGACAAAGCAACATGCCGATCGACCCCATTTAGTATGCCCCCCTTCTCGTCACATATCCTGGCCACTCCACCGCAACTGGTTTCCGATACCCTGACCAAATAGGGCGCGACGCCACTAGTTGCAAGCCATTTGGCCCAAGCATCGCTTCCCCGTCTAGGCCCCACAGCGTCACTGCTATATAGTTGATCCCGTTGTAGTTCAGGATCCCCTCGGGCACAGGGAAATCCGTTTGCGGGCCAAGGTTATTGACTGATTGAAATTAGCAAGTACAATATAGGTAGACGTAGAACGTAGGACATGTCAGACAGGAGTGGGAATTCTTCTGTGACGTACCAAATTTCCCAAACTGAAAGCCGTTCACATATAGTTGACAGCGATAATTTCGCGTATGTACGTCGTCCGTTGAGCCATTGAATGCAAATACAAACCGTAACGGAATGTCGTATCCTGTCGGTAGATCCAGAGGGAAGGATGTGGTGAAGAACCCAACCCCTGGCTTCTCGATACCTTTCGTAAACGGGCTTCGCATCTCCCATGTATTGCTCGGAGGAGAGGGTAGATGGTAGCCCTGTCGTTCAGCGAACATGGCTCCCTCGTTGAGAGGGCCACGGATGAGATCGTAATACTGTTCGCCACCAAGGTTTCCCGTCATCTTCCAGCGGAGGTCAGAGTGATGTTCATGGCCAGAAAGTGAGTAGTCTAAGATGCCACGCGGGAACTTAATTGCGTCTGTACCTGGGGCCTCCTCGTCGTACCCCATGTGGTCAATTAGGATGCTGATGGTGTAGGGCTTTCCCAGAGAGAGAGATATAAGGTTAGCAGTAGGAACAAGTGAAATATTCTGCGCATAGAACGAACTATCGCTGCTTCCTGTCCAAGAGTCGAGATATTTATCGTTCAACCAGATGGAATACCCGAAGCCCGCTCCGCCGGAGATATTTAGGAAAAGGAAGCTCTCCTGCCCGTTAGCAATAAAGTGCCCTCGGTAAAGGAGAGATCCAGTGTGGTAGCCGTAGTCAAGCGCATAAAGGGATGTTGGAGTAGTGAGGTTCCGAGGGTTGTTGGTCCAAGATTGATTGAGAACTGTCCAGGCCTCATCATCGTAGGAGGGACCAATCTCCGGAAGGGAATCGAGATATCGCCATTCAAGATCATGGGGAGTGGGAAGGGAAATTGTGGGCGGATTGTACTGGATGAGCCCATGAAGTTTTCCCCTGGATGAAAGCGTAGTGTTGAGCAATTGATCATTAAACACTACACCATGTACTTCTTGTGGCGTGGATATGACCTCAATGGCGGTTGTTGCATTAAGATCTCCACTCAAAACAAGGAGGTTGTTCTGAATTATTGCAGTCCGAACGAGGTACCCTGCTTTCACAATGATGAGATCTTTTGATGGTGAGCTGTAGTTGCCTATAGGCTCCACAGCTGGTGGTTCTAGTATCCAGTAATTGTACGCATCATTACGCCATAGAAGATGAAGCTCGAGATCTCCCATTTGGATCACCCTAGGAGTAGCGGTTACTCTCCATTGAATAACCCATGAACCCTGTAGTTGTCTGATTACAATACCAGAGACTGGTCCGTCGAGAATGACTGGTTTGGATAAGGCCTGCGAGAAGGCAATTTCATGCACTTCATCCTGTCCACCATATAGAACCAGTACGCGGGTTGAGCCAAGACTATGTGCCCAAGTCAATACTTCCGCTGAGGAATAGATCATGTTGATGCCTCCAACATCATAATCTGTGACGTGTAACTTGGAATCACGTCCGTTCAATGACAATGTTGCATTATGCAGCTGTGGGATGGTGACGTTACCGATACTGGTCGACACAGTTAGTCTGTATCTCGCGCTGCCCGTGAATGTGAAATCAGCATGTCTAACAACGTAGAAATTGGTTTCGGTGCCATTTCCAACCAGGGGAGTGACAGCGATTCCTGGGTTGTCTGTGTATGATCCATTCTTGCCAATCCCTGGGGTTGCCGTTAGATAGGCGGGTGATATTTTGAAAAAGTTGGCTTGCAGTTTCTGTTCGCTATACTTTTCACGTGTGAGGGTTCGGTCTTCGGCGATGGAGGCACCGTAGTCATAGGAGGTATAACCGCCGTGGTATCCCAGATTGCCCCAGTTTGTACCACCATAGGTCTGGAGAAGTTTAGTATGACCTCGTTAGGGATATAAAGTTGCGTAATCTGACCATGTAGATGTTGAAGATCTTGACTCCAAAGCTGTAATTGTTCTTATATACCACTCGAGAGGCTTCGTGATTGACCAGCATTGCACATCCTTCCTCAGTGACTCCTCCCCTGATTATAGTTAGATCAGTGAATATAGCGAGAGTAATGTGTTTTAGGGGATACATCAAAGTATGTACGCCATAGCACTTACCAACCCCACCTGACCCTCCTTGAAACTCCATAATTGTAAACGGTGTCGAGGGACTCTGCTCTTCATGCAAGATATTCCAATCGTAAGGAAACCTGTACGTTGGCCAAACATCCGGATGTGCACCTCAATGTAAATTAGCTCCTCGCTTGTCTCAAGAAGTCAATCCAGCAGGAGCATGCACATACAGTCATACCGCATGGGGTAAGCATCGATTCCATAGATATCTACCTCACCCAGTCCGGTTCCGGGTGCGAAGTATCCTTCCACTTCGTTGTCATTCATTGCCATGGGCACGTCCACCCCCGCAGCACGCAACTCTTCCGCCATCAACGCCATAACCGCACGGTTCATCTGCGATGGGAATTCCTCCTCTGTCAGTCCTGGCCAGGTAGTATACTCATTCTCTGGTTGGACCATGATAACCGGCCCCCCTCGCGTGATCTGTGCATCGGCAATGATCTTTCCAACTTTCGACATATAGTTCTTGATGGAAGCCACATAGTCTGGACTTATTGATCGAATGACTCCTTTGATACGTAGGACCCATCCAGGGATACCCCCCGCAGATGTTTCGGCGTTGATATATGGACCGGGCCGCGCGATGAGATAGATTCCGGCCTCAGAGGCAGCAGCAAAAAATTCATCAAGATTCCAGATATCAGTGTTATTGTTAACACCGTTGTCGCCGATCATAACATTTCCTGGGTTGGCTTCCAAAAGACCCCAGTCTGTGTAGAAGGAGACGCCATTAAAACCCATGCTTTTGATCTTTTGGAAGACATCTAGCCATAACCCAGGAACTGGAAGGCGGAAAGGGTGGAATTCGCCCGAGAAGACCATGATACGTTCGCCGTTAACCAACAGAGAGTGTTGATCCCAGGTGACCTGTCAGTAGTTATTAAATGCTGTACCAGGTTTCCTCATGGGATTTATTAGTCCAGTCTCCATACCCTAGTTTGCGCGGGCCCCGATCTCTTATCATGGTTAGAATTAACTGCATCTAATGCTTTCGTTGTGGATGCATCGGCAAATCCACAAACCACTACCAGACTGATGAGCAATAGCAGTGGACGCAAATGTAGGAGGCGCAATGGTAACCGCATCTCTGTTTCTATGGAAAGAGTGAGAAGAGCTGACGAGTAAAGTGACGGCGCATAGGTATTTAATGGCGAAGCATGCTAGTCCAGCTTAAAGGAATTAACAACTAAAACCGGCCCGCAAGGCATCAAGATACCAGGCAGAGAGAGGATTGTGGTTGTCTTTCACGGCGCAAACTCCACCGAAACCACTGCTATAAAGATTTCTCTAGCCCTCATGGTACAAGCGGCTAAATGAAGAACAAGGGATAAATTACATTGGTATTATTTCGCTCCTGCTTGCTTTGCTTCAAACAGCAAACATGCATTATTTGGGCTCCGGCTCGAAGTCATGTCGAGATTGGTGGAGAAAGTTGCACCAACACATGATAGATCTTGGTTCTAGACTGTACTAAAGATGCATTATGATCTAAGAAGGTATTCAGGCTGAATCCTGGTACATGCGGGGTTAAGTATTCAACTGGCGATCTCGGAGATTTCTCCGAGATCCTGGGGTTATGGAGGCAAGAATGGCAATTTACTTATCTTGGCCCAGGAAGAACTCGAGAATTCGTAACGGCAAGCATAGTAGTACGTGTATGCCAGCAATTATTGAGCAGACTTTGTGTTGATTATTGGAATGATGTAGAGAGCTGAAAATTGCTTCATAGATTATCTAATTGATGGATCTGGGCCATGGCTAATGAAGCTGCAGTGAAATGTTTGAGTCTATCGATTACAATTATCTACGGAACAGTCCAGAGCGTATTGCACTGGGTGGAAAATTCGAAGATATACACGATCCTCGTTTCTAGCCTTAGATCTAACTTCGAGCATAAAAGCGAGACAATGTGTGGCCCTTACTGTTGCTCTCTGACCATCTGGGGGTAAGTTTGTTATTGGTGATAGACGTAAACTATCCCCGAAAGTCTATCGTTACTCCCTGGCCTCTTTGCCTTGAAAGAAGACAGATATGTGTTATTTCGTCGTCAAGAATCATATTCTGGTGGAGTTTAAATCTTATACATTGCTTGGATTGCTGCCATAATGCACTTATAAATATTATTGTATGTCTGATGACTTGGTTCAAAGGGTATAGTTAGTTAAATGCACAGTACATATGTATATCAATTACTTACTGTCAGATTTAGCACTTATTACAGAAGTCATTAAAAACCGAGAAAGGTAGCATGTAAGTTGACCTGTCTTTTCCCATGATGCCATTTAGCCATATGTTAGCTACACGAGGGTACGTGGAATATGTATAGAAATGCATGTCATGTTACTGTTGACTGGATTAAGCTCACTAGGGTACGCCACAGTTCTGGACCACTTCCCCTCCATCGGGGACCTCGCTCTCATCTTCTCCTCTTGGCGATCCCCGAATCCAGTTGCTCTCTTGTATATGGTACGCCTTATTCGTATTTTGGATGGTTCGATATACGCCATGCCGGCGGCAACATCCATTTAACATGTACGATCAGGGTGTCTTCCGATCTCTATCTTGATGCTGGCATTTTTGAGGAAGCTCTCGAAGAGCTGTAGCTTTAGTGGACTTTTCTAGACCACGAAAAGCATGGATTGAGGCGAGCTTAGTCTACTAATCGGCCATCATGCGCAGTCTATTGACATCCATTGGCTAACGTTTCTGTTTGAGAATCTGATCTAAATATTCCTCACTGCTTATTTATATCTCTTGTCTCTCTTGAATAAACGATATATCCGACCCAATAACCTCAGCTTATGGCCTTGGCAAATCTTAATTCTCTTTTTCTACCTTCATTTCCTATCTAGCAGTTGTCATTGAGTGATAAGAATCACCGACATCATGGATGGGACATCTCAGATTCCAGTTGGAGATACTCTTATTTGGCGAGCCTATGGTCAATTCGTCAAAAGGCTGTTGCTCGGTCCCAACACCCCTAAAGAGGGTTTGGACTATGTTTATGTGTGTCCTCCCACCGAGCATGGGCTCCGTGGGGGACGACCCATTCCAGATGCAGTGACCAACTCAAACGTCTTCTCCGTTGCCGATTCCTTACAGAGGGCTGATTCTCCTCTGTTTACGATTCACACGGACCTAAGTTACTTCGAGTCCCTTGATAAGTATGCGATGATGGCCATCTAAGTTTAGGAGCGAGATACTAAACAGAACAGTTATCTCAAGGCCGTGACAGTCAAGACTATCACCCAGGAACAAAAGGCTGAGATCAAACAAGCAATCAAAGAGCAAATTGACGCCGAGGAACAGAGGAATATCGCAAAAGCCGCTGCTCTAGCAGCATGGAAGCATGATCTCGACGCTCAGGCTAATCATAGAGCTTTTCACGACTGGGCCATTGACAATGCTGATTCTTACCTGGAGTTGGAGGAGCAGGTTACCCTGACTTCAGGCCAAGTGGATCTACTCCAGAGCAAGTACTATGGAGCGATGGCGGGGACGCTCCGGGAGAAAAGGGAGAGGCTGGAAAAATTGGCTGCGGATGCGAAGTACAGTAACCCAGGGTAGGGCCACGCGCATCTTCTGGTATTCAACAGACTAACCCCATTTCAGATATAACATGCCATGCTTCATTCGCGACTACGCCGTTGACGAGGCGGCCCTCGATGCAGATCACAGAGTGGAAGATATCGATGGGCGGGATCTTGTTTATCAGCCCCTTTACACCATTGACGGATATGAATCATCCTGCGACTCTTGGATTAAGGGGGCTGCTGGAGACGGTACAATTGTCACACTGGACCTTACCTCGTCCAGATATGATGACTGGAAAGAACTTGGCCATTCTCAAAGCATCTCTAGGAAGGCAAATAAGTTCTTTTTCTTTTTCAGCAAATCAAGCAGTACGAGCACGACTGAAACCCACCTTAACTTCAACGGGAGCGAATGGAAACAGCAGACAAAGATCACGTTGTATATGACTGGGCCTGCACGGGTTTTCAACATCACACCTGGCTTATGGTGAGCTATTCTGTCCGGTCTATTCATTATCACCCAAACATAACTCTGTTTAGGGATGATAGTGGTGTACGGAGGACGTTTCCTAATCTGCTTGAGGGGGAACATGACTCTGCACTTGGTCTGGTCCGCGTCTCGAAGATTCTCGTCGGTTACGAAGTGTCGCTAAAGATCCGTTTCGCTGAATCTCTGAAGACTCAAGTAAGAAACATGGTGAGCCAGGCTAAATGGGAATCCAATGGCGGACTTCGGATTTTCGGATTTCAATTTGGCCCTGACCAAGCTTCTGGTACCTCTTTTACGAGAGATGTGAACTCCGTCAAATACAACGAAACTAGCAACGGGCTTTCACTCCCTGCAAGCCCTCCAGGCTGCCCGGTGATTCTAGGAATTCTCGGTCGGAAAATCGGGGTTGAACTGCAGTGATCTCCAGGTATGTGTACGTGAACCTTTGGGCTCTGTGTTAGTTTATCTCTCCATTGGTTGTTTCGATCCCTCATCACCTTTAATTTGATGCGTGGATAGGATACCTTCGCAAGGTGGAGGCATTGGATTATTTTGTTCTATTGTGTACCTTTGGACTAGCAGGAAATTGCAGCATTCAACTTCTGCAGCAGGCCTTCGTTTTTCTTATTATATTAGCAGATGGGGCTTCCAACAAGCTCATGATTATCTAGCTTTTGCCAATCAATCTGTTTCCGAGGTAACACCGAATGTTCTATGGAGGTAGTCATTCTTTTTCTCCCCCCCCGTCTGTACCGCCAGTCTTCTCTCTAAAGTCGCACTTAGTCTTCAAACATACCATCTCTCGAGGGTTGAATGTAAAGGCAGATTCTACATCTTCCTCGCCTGAATTGCATGGCCCACGGGGTACCACTTGTCGATCCTATTCTTAGGCGCCTAACCCAAAAAAGGAGCTTTGCGAGACGGGCGCCAGGGGTAGAGCTAGAAAATCAACGGGTTTTGCATGCGCCCTGTGGGCTGGGCTGATGTCCCACGCAAAAAACACAAGATACCTGCGCGTTTTCTATTGCATTGAGAGCCGAAGCCCATCTTTCCAGCATGCGTTAAAATTTGCTAAGGCTCAGCGCTGAAGCTTGGTTTGTTGGGGTGGATCTCGTTCGGCGAATTTGTGCATGCTTGAGTTGGAAAAGTCCACCAATCCAATTTCTTGGGGTGTGTTGGAAGGGAAGAAAAGCCGGTAGCAATTTAGGGACGGAGTTTGGTCGGCGAGCAGGAATAAACCTGTCCCCACAAGGCTCAAACATCGAGTTCCCCCCTGTCTCGGAGCTCTCGGGAGTTGAGATTCTAATAATCTAACGCTTCCTTCAATCGTTTGCCAAGCTAACATAATATCTCCTGATATCTGCCCAAATTGCGATTTATATCATGTTTCGGAGGGCCTGGGCCTGCTCTCGTTTGGGTTAACTGTGTCGATATTGGCTCTAATTAAGAAGAACTGGCCGAGAATTAAAAATTGGAGCAGGAGCTGGGCCCACTAGCCCTAAAGAAGCTTCTTTAACAGCCGGACAAATTACTTAAACGTCCTTAGCCATTTCACATATAGTTATCTAGGTTCTGAGGAACCCCCACCGGTGTCTCCACTAGGAGGTCCTGGTCGATATCAATCAATCGGCCATCATGGAACATGCGTAAGACATGCTTACCTATAAAGATAAGGTATCATCGCGCCCCCTAGTTCCTCCATCAATAGCAAACTTAGATTCGCCGATCTTTTCCGCGTAACAATCATGGTGAAATCACTTTTGGTGTCCTCTCTCTTTGCCGCATCGGCCCTGGCCGCGAGCCGTATGACAGCTCCTGCCGGTGCGATCGTCGTTGCCAAGTCTGGGGGGGATTATGACACGGTAAGCAGGTGGAAAACGCAGATCAGATATCTTGGTATATGCTCTGACGAACTGTCATTGAATAGCTTGGTGCCGCGGTGAATGCCCTGAGCACCAGCGAGACCGCGACGCAGACCATCTTCATTGAGGAGGGTACCTACGACGAACAGGTGTACATCCCGTCGTTGGCTGGAAAGTTGATTATTTACGGTCAGACGGATGAGTATGCTCTAAAGATTCTGTGCTGCACTACAAAAGACCTTGTCAACTAACACTGTATTTCTAGCGACACCACCTACACGGGCAACCTTGTCAACATCACTCATAACATCAAGTTAGCTGACGTCGCCAACGATGACGAGACCGGTCAGGACCCCATCATGCACCCAAGCCTATCTTCTTTTTCATTGGACTTACAGTAAATCTAGCAACCGTTCGTAACCACGCCCCCAACTCGTCCGTCTACAACCTCAACATCATCAACTCCTGCGGTCAAGTCTGCCACCAGGCCTTGGCCGTGAGCGCCTATGGCAATGACCAGGGATACTACGGATGCCAGTTCACCGGATACCAAGGTAAGCAACAGAAAAGAAAACGGAGGAGCAAAAGAGCTCTGCAGTACTGACTCGCCATCAAATAGATACGCTTCTCGCCCAGAGCGGAAACCAGGTCTACGCCCACACCCTCATCGAGGGTGCCGTGTAAGCTCCCCTGTATTCTTCCGCCCGATCGGAAGAAAATAACTTACACCCATTTCTCAACCCAGTGACTTCATTTTCGGTCAGCACGCCCGGGCCTGGTTCCATGATTGCGACATCCGCGTCTTGAAGGGCCCCAGCTCCGGCTACATCACCGCTAACGGCCGCTCTTCCGACACCGACTCGTCTTACTACGTAATTCACAAGTCCTCCGTCGCTGCCGCTGATGGCAATGATGTCCCCTCGGGTACCTACTACCTCGGTATGTCATAATCCTGTTGAAATTGTACTTTCACGCGCCATGTTTTACTGACAATCTATATCACAGGTCGCCCCTGGTCCCAGTACGCCCGCGTCCTCTTCCAGAAGACCTCCATGACCGATGTGGTTAACTCTGCTGGCTGGTCCGAATGGTCGACTGCCCAGGCGAACACTGAGAATGTTACCTTCGCTGAGTATGGTAACACCGGTGCAGGAGCAAAGGGTACGCGGGCTAGTTTCTCCGAGAAGTTTAGCGAGCCGGTTTCTATCTCAACGATTTTGGGCTCGGATTGGACACATTGGGTTGATACTAGCTACATCAACTAAGACTCTTCGGTACTTCAAGAAAGGGAGGATATTAGGATAATATTGGCTATTCTTACTATGATCGGTCTTATATAGCAAGTAGCGCTCGGTGTAGATATGTACATAATACTTGAATGGCTTGAAATAGCCCATGTTTTTGGATTGGCGTTGATGTCGTAATACTCTTCCATTTATCCTGAGACGTACTGGCTGTGAATAATTGGATATCCCAAGCAAATTACGACGAGTTTAGAAGCCATCAAGTCAGGGGTTTTTCAACGACGAAGATGTTGAGAATATCTATACTATATTGCCACGTCCGCATTCGGAATAATGCCCTTCACTCAGTTCTCTCAGCATTTGACCTTAGTAAGAGCCAGTTATAACTGACAGCCGACCACCATCAGTGACATGAACAGCGCCATTCGTAAAACTACCAGCCCGACTAGCAAGGTACAGAATTGCACCCGCCATTTCCTCATCCCCACCGAACCGCCTGGCGGGGATGAACCTCTGGTCATCGCAAGTCTCTTCTTCCGGTTTGCGGTCTTGAGTCAGCACGGAAGCCAGATCGGACGGATAGACTGCAAATAACTCCTCGTCAACCTCCTAACTCGAACGGTAATATTTATAACGGGAAGGGACACCCTTACTTCCCGGCGCGAGAGCATTCACCCGAATACCAAACCTAGCCAACTGGGTGCTAGCATGTTTAGCCACCTGCATGATCGCAGTCTTACTGGCCAAATACGGGGGCGATGACGAATGATGGCGACTGAAGGCTGAGATACTGGTAGTGAAAATGACCTGGCTCTGGATCGACGGGACGTTGCTGCCCTCTGTGATGGGCTTTCCAAAGCCGCCTTGCAGCGCGTTCCTGTTGCCGGCGTCGAGAAGCTCGAGGAACGCAGTCATGGTAAAAAAGGCGGCTGTGATGTTGAGATGCAGGGTGTCGTTCATCTCATCCATGGAGAAATCGGTGAATAGGGTCTGGCGCAGTTCTGAGAGAGAAGCGGTTGGGTTGTAGCGTGCTGGAGGCCCGATGATACCCGAATTGGCAATGACGAGGTTCACATAGCCTTCCTCGGTCGTGATGCGGTCTACGGCAGATTGGAGATCTTCTTTCGATGTCACGTCGCACTGCTGTGGGACCAGGCTGCGGTGCTCCTCGGCCGCCTTCTGCAGCACCTCCAGTCGCCGGCCGAGGATATACACTTTTCGTGCTCCGCTGAATGCGAGGGCTCGTGCCATGGTTAAGCCGATGCCTGTATGTCACAACGATGAGTTGAGCGAAGGCCACTCTGTGATGATTCTTGTAAATACTAACCACTGCCTCCGCCAGTGATGACAGCCACCAGACCATCGACACGGAAAATGGTGCTTGGGTCAATGAGTGATGCCATTGCTTCGTGTTGAGACGTCTTTGAGTTGTTCTAAGAGGCGATGTGACGTGTCAAAAAAAAAAGAAAAGAAAAAAGATGTTGATGAGAGAAGTCACCGTCCATGGTCGGGCCTTATTGAAACTTTTATATCGTCATGTTCCAAATCGGTCGGACGAGAAAAGTAAGTGGCAGCACAGGGTCATAATTTAATTGGTAAGCAAAGCTTTGGGTATCTTAGGCTGCCAACCTCATAGAGTCCATTTCACTGCATAGCGAACAGATGAGTGGGACGTAAGGTATAGAATGTCGGGGACTGTCGGTAAACACGGCCGATGAGACAATTCTTTTGATTCTGAAAGTACGTCTTTACCATATCGTCGAATCATATTAAATATGCTAAGACAGGTCCAACAATTCACTGAGAACAACCCCACAGCATCCTATCACATGTATATCCATTCTTCCTGCACTCCCTGGTATAACTGCTAGTAGTATAGTTTGGCGGCTATCTTCCCGACAGCGCCCGACATCAAGTAATGGACGGCAGTGCTTTTCCGATTGTTCATACTACTAGTAGTACTGTCCCCACTGGTGGATCCCGACGGCGGCCGACAACTAAGCTTACTGTGACATGTCCACATAAGCAAGGAGTTTCGGCGCCAGCTCACTCTAAGTCTGGCGATAAAGGCCAAGAACAACAGAAACCCAAGTACAGTCTAGGATGAACCTTCCAGCTGTTACTCGTGATATCACTCATCCAACTGGCTATTATGCACCTCTCAGGAACGAGGTTCTGCCACAAAGCTTACAGGCAAGAACGCCCTTCACTAGATCCCACTGGCTTGACGTAAGCTCCTCGATGGGACACTTGAACTTCGTTCGTGTAGGGAGTGTTCGATTATTGTGGTCGAAGATATGCTAGGTTCGCAATTTCATGTCTATCGATCGACCTTGAGTAGACATATATTTACAAAGGACTGAATTAACTGGGTAAATAAAGCACGCTGGCCACCTTTTGAGGTGTAGAGCAATGTGGTTTATGGGAATAAGAACTGTTACGCAATGTCGCCGATACTACCAGGGCTTTTAGAAGAGCTACTGGATACGTAGATCAGATATATAGCCATTGTGCTCTAGCACTACGCCCCAGGTACTACTCCATCCTGACTGATATTGGATGTGTCTTTCACCAAAGGATACTTGAGCGAGACATTCTTCCTTCCACTGTCTATCCGCCGAGAATGGTGGGGGCCCATGCGGGGTAAGATTGTCCAGAAAACAACGCTAAATACGTCCAGACAGTAACCCTTGTACGAATGTGGCATGTTTGCTTCCGGTAGCTTCCATGACAAACGATTATACAAGGATTAGGAATACCTGGATTATTAGAGCATTTTCCCAAAGGGGAAGGTCTCTATGTATTTTCCGTCTAGCCCTGTGGGGATGCAAGCTGTCCGCCTTGGCTTGTTCTCGACAAGGGAACACCAGGATAGCCCGATTTGTCAATGGCGAGTGTCGGTATATCCATACTCATATCCCTACTCATATCCATACAACACCGGCTAGGATAATTGCCTTGGTTCCTGTTCCTAATTTAGGAGATGCATTCGGAGTATATGAAAGCAATCGTAAACGAGGAATTGGTAAATCTAAAATCGCTGGGAAGAGACAAGATGCTATGTCAGGGCACTGCGTACAAGCGAATCGTCAGCTCAGTGAGATCTTAGCTCCATTTCGGCTAACTCCGCTATTCTTCAGAGAATCTAGTATTTTAGATGCCCCACATGAGTCCAGATTGTCCGAGCTATAAAAGCGGCTCATTTACCTTCAACATAACTGAAACAAATCTGCTCAATCTGTTAGAACGGTGTGCTATTATAGCCAAAATGAAGTCCGTCCTGTTCAAGGTAATCCCACACATGATAATTCCTTCCGTGCTTGAGCTTACCAGATCGTCGACAGTCCGTGACCGTCCTCCCAGCCCTCGCCATGGCGGCAATGGCTTCTCCGCTTGTCTCCTACGCAGGCTATTTTTATGAGAACTGTACCGGTCCCAGCATCACAGCTACCAATGTCGCGGCATCCTTCTGCTCTAATGTGGAAGATTTTCCGATCAAGTCTTTCACGGCATATGTATTTTCTGGGGCCTGTGACGATTCTAAATCACCGGTCTTGAATGTCTACACCGCATCGAATTGCGAGTCTGGGTTGTTTGACACTGTGAGCGTGAATGCTGAGAAGCAGTGCTTCGAGGCGGATACCACGATTGTGAGCTTGGGCGTTGAATGTGTTTGATATAAACATGCGTGAGGTCTGTATTCATCATTTTGATGGTCAGGGCACTGGAATGTGTGCCTACTGGGAAAGAAACAATATGAACCTTTAGAGGAATAGCATGAATTATTCATCGTCAATTGTGCACAAATTCAAAATAGCGACAGAGTCTGTTGTGTATGCTAAACCACAAATATAAGGTACATAGAATCAACAAGACAACCGGTGGTATCTCAAAACTCTCGTCCCATCCAACGTCAATCTGATACCAAGTTGCGAAACAAGTGAACCAAAAGTCAACCAGCTACCCCCAAATCTCACATTCTTTCTGACCGCAGCTGCCTGATTGTCAAATTATCTAGCTTTTCCACTGCCCAGCATTCTCCACCCCTCTCGCAACCCTGTTTGCTCCGTCTTCGACGCCCGTTCCAATACTTCCCAGTCCATCGCCCAACGGTTTCCCGGCACTGCCTGTAGCGCCCGTGATGGTATCGCCGATTCCACGAGTAGCGGCGCCTGTGACCCCGCCAACGGTGCGAGAGACGCCTCCGACCGTGTTACCAAGAGTCGAGGTCACGAATTTGGCGGCGCCAGTAACGCCGCTGTCTTGAGAGGAGGAGAAGGTGTTGTTCGGCATGATGCAGGTGTTTCTTGGTCTGAGCTTTTCTTCGTCCGCCTAAGAGTGGTGTTCAAGGCAGGAAAATAAGAGGTTATGAATGTGGATATGGATATTGTTTTGCTTGTTTTGAACGTGGCTCTCGTTGATCCATGGTTTCGGGCGCGCTTGATCCTTCTTATCTTATCATGGATCTCAGATGATGTCATTGTTCGGGGCCCCTGACGTTGGTGGCGGTCGTTCTATTATTCATCTTATACAGTGTACATACGACGAAACATGTAAACAGGGAGTTACTACGGGCCTTCACTAGACTGTTTCCAGCCTGTGAGACCCAGACTCTAGATCCGGGTTGCTTTTCTGGTGGAGTTGCGGACCACCATGCTCATGCTCATGTCTTGCCAGAAAGTACTAACCCACTTGTTGCTTCCATACTTCCAATGAATCGTCAAAGAGGGGATATGTATGAGTACAACAAACCCAATAGTACCTCGTATCTACCATTGATTACAATATGCCATATATCCCGACAACCCACATCAACATATACCACCAGCGACCCGGCAGAACCTGGACACCGTTATTCGGCACCCATGCAAGAGTCTGGTTGCCCGACTGAATGTTCACCGCCTTGGTGGAATTGATACTGTCAAATTGCCCCGAGAAGGTAACAGCAAATTCGATATAGAGGTTATCCTGGCGACCTTCGTAGTATTTATAATCGGATGAGATGTTACCCGAACCACCAAACCTGAGCTCCAAGGTAGTGTTCGACACAGACCCATTCAACATCGTTGTAGCGGGCCAGCCCATGCGTAAGCTGTATGAATCACAAGTACGCCCAGGGAGACGCACCGAGCCCTCACCCACACCGAATTCTGGTTTCGGGTCGGAAGCAGTAGTCGCATTGAAACGAACGGCGGCCGAAGTAGTTGAATCCGAGGAGACATTCATGATCATCACGTCCGAGGCGCCGAACGTATGAGCCCCGTAGTCGACCCAACCTCGACTCGTGACAGCCTGGAAGAGATCCGGATCCCCAGGGCAAACGCTATCCTCTGCCCATTTGATAGGTTTATAGGAGGTGTGGATCTCGCTCACTGGCGCGTCAGACTCCCAAGCCTTGAATCCAATAATGAATGGGTTGAGGGGTCCGGTAGGATAAGGCGGTTGGGGCCCAACCCAGGCGTATCCTAGGAGTCGGAGCGTCCCGTTTGCGCCACGACACCGCGATCCACCCGTGATGTTGTACGAAAGCTGTCCTTCTCCCTGGAAGTAGGAGCCGTCGTATTCTGTTGGGCTGGCATCTCTAGGTCTACTGCCTTGAGATGTCCAGTTCCATGCATTTCCGGGGACAAGGTATGTCGTGCTAAGAAGGTTGTCTCTATCTTCACATCCTGATGAACCTGAGCCGCTGCCGCTTCCACCACTGCTGTCATCGCCGCTGCCGCTGTCGCTGTCAGAATCGCCTCCCCCGCCTCGTCTGGCTAGTGCATTGCCGCTGAAGATAGCGAGAAGAAGCAGGAGCTGGGTGAGAAAGGGCTGCGGCACCATTAGGACGGGGCTATGCTATATATACTGCAGGGTAGGGTCGACATTACGGAGCAAAAGGAGAGAACGGTTCGTCGCAGCAGAGATGGGTCGAAGCGTAGGTCGCGAAGTTATAAATAGGCGTGTGTAATCGACTGCCAAGTGCCCGACCTCGTATTGCTTGGGTCAGGCTACAAGACCACATTATCCATTGGCGGATCGTTGTTGCTGAACCAACGGAGGGTTTGTACTTATATTAAGCGTCCTTGGCAAGGGAAAGCCTAGTCATAGTTGGTTGTGAGAGTTAATGATCAGCCACTTGTCATACAAAATGAGTTAGGGCGTCATGGAATAGTTACATTGGGCTTTGGTGTCATGACAGATAATTATATTCTATTTCATTAGTATCAGTCTCACCTCCCTAGCAAAATGCCAGGAGGGAAACTTTTCAAACTATTTGTTGCGCTTTAAACTCATAGATTTTATCTCTCTTCGCTGATATCTATGCTTGATTCTATCCCGGTCACGACTCATATGGAAACATCCCTGGGCAGAGCTTTGGCCTTCTTTGCTCTCTTGTTGCACTTTAGGATTCGACAGGGGTAGACTTACATGACTGGGTCTCCAGTATGATGGTATAATGTTTAGGAAGTGTGTTATAGAATCCAGCATGGAATGTTCCCACCCGAGTGCTGCTTGGTATATTCACTGCCAAGCGTGAAAGTGATAGCATAGTATAATGTGTAGTTCATTATCTTTGGGCCTATTAACCTGCCGATGTGAGATAAGATGGGGTTGTTGACCTAAACTATACAAATGACATCGCATTTTCCGCGTTTAGGTGACGAGCTACCCAACACAATGCCCTATCACCGACAGAAAGTCACAAGACCAACCCAAGAAACAGATGCAATAGTTTGTCTATGATCATGCTGACATTGAATGACTAAAGCTTACCCTGCACATTCTCCCTTAGAATTTGCTGATTTAACAAGCCCAGCAGTACATCTGGTGCATCGAGTTTATCCATAAAAACTTCTACCATCCGCAAACCCTTGCCGTTGGCGAGTTGGGGATCGTTCAATACAGAATCCAAATCTGCCCAGGTCCGAACCGTCCATGTCAGTGCCTTATGCTCGCCCTCCCGGTCCGCGCCGAAAAACTCGGGTGCTTTGAGGTACTGCCATGGAGCGACATCGTTATATGCCTGGTTGCGGCCATGAATGCACCGCTCGATGGTGTATCCATCATTATTAATCAAAAAGATAATGACATTGAGTCTTTGGTGGATGATGGTACTGAGCTCCTGAACTGTCATTTGGAAGCTGCCATCACCGATAAATAGGATTGTGCGAGGGTTAGGTAGACCGTGGTACTCGCTGGACGCGACTAGATCTCGCTGCGCATGGCTTGCTCCTAGCGCGGCTGGCAGCATGTACCCAATAGACAGCCAGGTGGCCGGCTTGAACAGACGGGCATGCGGAGGTAGTATGAACTCATTGACGCCATAGCCTGGTGTTCCGGTCTCGCCAAGGATAATGTCTCCAGTACGGAGAAATGGTGAGAGTCGCTTCCAGAAGCCCTCTTTCTGTGTGACTAGATCGGTAGGAGACACTTCGGAGAGTGTCCTGAGTGATGGGTGGACAAGTTCATGTTTATGTGTCGGTATTTTAGACATATCGAGTCGCTCTGTGAGCTGCTGAATGAAATACCCGACTGGGAGATCGCGGAAGACCTCTTTGTTAGCTTGGATCGAGTTGGGGCTAAACAGGACAGCTGCCTCGTCCGCTGGTCTTAAGAAATAATTGTAGGTGTTGGTGTTGCTGAAGTGTGGTCCGAAAACCAGAACTAAATCACAAGAGTCGAGAAAAGATTTGTAAGGAAGCGTACATACTCCGTAGACGTTAGGGAGGGTTTCATCAATTAACCCCTTGCCAAATCCAGATGTGAATGTTGGCCAGCCTATCGTCCGGACAAAGTGATCTACTCCGTGGAGCATATCGAACGCTCTAGTCTCTCCGTCAACCAGAATCATCGGCTTCTTGCTGCTGTAGATTCTATGGAGGACAGCATTAAGGGCTGCTTTCTCCACCGGTGGCTGGCGCACTGCGGGCGGAATCCGAATCTTCGACGACAAGCCCGCGGTAGGGACAAGCGCGGGCACCATGTCAACAGGAATAGCAATACGAACAGGTCGGCTGTGCAACAAACATTGCAGCAAAATCCTATCAATCTCGGAAGGCGCCGTGCGATGATCGTCCAGGCTGACCTGCGCTACAGTGACATGTTCCTGTATTGCGCCAAATCGCTGATAGTCGCCGTCATTGAAGGTGTGATGGATCAATGCGCGCGACTCCTGCGAGGCGCGCATGGGTGTCCCAACAATATGCACAACTGGGGCTCTCTCTGCGTAGGCTCCCGCAATCGCATTGATGGCAGACAGCTCGCCAACGCCAAATGTGGTCACCACCGCACCAATTTCTAAACGGTCAACCTCTGTCAAACGCAGAAAGGAACTGGGGAGAGGGTACCTTTGATCCGAGAGTACCCATCTGCAGCATATCCCGCATTCAGCTCGTTGCAGTTTCCCACCCATTTGAGTCCCGAAGGTACGACATGATCCAGGAGTGTCAAGTTGTAGTCACCAGGTACTCCAAAGATAGAGTCCACACCCAACTGGCCCAAACGCCTGAACAGATATTGGGCGAGTGGTAGAGTTTTCCCTTCCATATTTTATTCGACTGTCACTTACCGTAAGCGACTTACATTGCTCCCTCCACTGTTTTAGACTTCGTTCTTGTTTATATATGGCAGAAGGAGAATTCAATGGTCCTATACATCAATCGTAACCTACAGCTCTTGCCGATATCCGAAAAGATACATTTCGGCAATAGGAAAATATAGCCCGCAAGCTCATGCCGATCGGAGTGCCTAACGCCGAAAGCCGATGCCTCGGAGCCCTATTCGATATAGAAGCGTAGACATTACTGATGAGAGCCAAATGTTGATCTCTAGACTTCAGTACATAAATAACGAAGCTAGAACGATGGCAAGGAACAATCTAAACAGCAACAAACACTGTGTATATACACCAGCATCATGACTATCCAACAGACCACCATGCAGCCGACTGAGCGACAGCACAGCTCAGGCTCCCTTGACAGCTTCGACCCGATCATGGTAACTCCCGTGATTGGCAACGAGTTCGCCAAAGGAACTTGCAATATCGTTGACGATATCTTACAAGCCCCCAATGCAGACCAACGTATTCGCGACTTGGCCATCATGAGTGTGTTACTCCCTCCAAGAAAGCTATCACTCAAAGCCATGCTGACTCTAGCAGTCGCCGAACGGGGCGTTGTTTTCTTCCGTGCCCAAGACAATCTCACGAATGATTTGCAAAAGGAACTCATCCTTCGCCTGGGTGAGCTGACCGGTCGTCCATCCACCCACGGCCTGCACATTCACCCGGTCACCAATGATGCACGCGAATTCGGTGACCCGGACCCTCAAATCAGCACCATCAACTCTGAAGGCCGCAAGACTCTCTATAAGGGATCTGATTATACCAAGATGGCGGCAGTCTGGCACAGCGACATCTCGTTCGAGAAAGCTCCCGCCGACTTTTCGAGTCTGCGACTGGTGCAACTGCCCAAAACGGGCGGTGACACGCTTTGGGCGTCTGGTTACGAAATCTATGATCGCATCAGTAAGCCCTACCGGGCGTTTTTGGAGACATTGACAGCCACACACACAGGTGTCGGCTTTATGAGGCTGGCACAGACGGGGAAGTTCCATTTGTATGAAAAGGAGCGCGGAGCCCCCGTCAATATTGGAGGAGACCTATCGGCTGTTCATCCGGTCGTAAGGACCAACCCAATCACAGGATGGAAATCCATTTTCCCTATCGGTAAGATGCATTCTCAGTGCTGTATATGCGGATGCTAATTGAGCGCGTAGGCTCTTTTCCTACGCAGATCGACGGGTTGACTCGTAGAGAGAGCGCCAGCATGCTGCAGTGGTTTCATGATATGATCACCCACGGACATGATCTCCAGGTCCGTTTCAAATGGAACAGTCCTAACGATATCGGTATGTGTCTGGGTATCCCATATTTTATGCTGTTGACTGACTGTCTAGCGATCTGGGACAACCGCAGCGTCTTTCATACCGCGACGGGCGACCATGAAGGGTTTGGCCCACGGAGTGGTAACCGGGCTGTGGGGGTGGGCGAGGTTCCGTACTTTGATCCGGGCAGCAAATCACGCAGAGAAGAGCTGGGCATTGTAGATGACCTTGCTCCCTGCCACTGGTAGCCTTTACATTGTTCTTGATGTCTAAGTTGTTCAGTCTATTCATTAATTTCAAGTTCTTCATTGCTCTGAATCGAAGTTATCCCAACCAAAACCAAACACATCCAACGTAGGGAGATTAAGACTCTCGCCAGCCCAGAAGTCTTCTAAGGACGCACCTGCGAATGGATTTCGCGCATCAAGAGAATCTTCTTGCTCTTGAGCTTCTATAAATGCTGCACTCTGCAGATCGAGTGTGCTTGCCACGGGATCCTTGGAATTCTCAAGATTGGGGAAATGAAGCCCTGATGATCCATCCGCGCCTGGTGCTGGCTGTTCTGGTATACACGAACTATGGGTCGACACCTCATCGACAAAGGCCATAACTCGGTTGATCATATTCTCCAGGTCGTCACGGTATTTCCTGAAACTAGATTTCCGCTCAGCCATAGCAAACATGGCGGACGAGCACGCACGGAGATCATTTGCCACGCTCGTGCTCCATAAACGTGGAGATCGAAACAAACAGAAACTACGACTATGATTAACTTAAAGAAACTGGATAGTGAAGACAATACACACCACATTGTGAGTCCGGCAATATAGACCGAATTTGACAAAAGGAAAGAGTACCCGGACAGACCCTTTTGCTGCGAACGCTTAAACAATTGGCACATTTGCCCCGATACATGTAAGCATGTTCTGATGAGGTCATCTTCTGGATTGAGTATACTCAGAAATGGTTGCAGAAGCGCACGAACACAGTTATTCCAGTGCATTTGGATGAAGTCGTTATCATGGGGTTGTAAGGGAGGTAAACCCCTTTTGTACTCCTCTAGCGAGGCCAGCAATGGAGATAGTTCCTGAATCAAAGCAGACATGTTTTTGTCCACGCGGTAAATTTTGGTATGAGTGCGGGACATGATCCGTTGCAAGTGTACTGTCGCAATAAACCGTCTGATGGCCGGTATAGTCGCCCCATCTCCAATACCCAAAGACAACTCACTCCTGTCCTGTTCTACCCCAGCATACCTGCTGGTCAGGTCATCGGTATCAGCCGGAATCTGCGCGTCGATTTCATCCTCTGCTATACTGAATGGCCGTCCCAGGGACCATGACACATGTCGCTCGATCACGTATACGCTCCAGAATAGCCTTCGGCGCAACTGTGCCTCTAGTGGCTTCATTGTCCTGTAGTGTGGTTCGCGGTGCATACCCAGGTCTATACATATTCGCATCGCCATGCCGATGGTGTACCACAGACTTGAGCTCGAGCTCGATCGTAACTCGTATATGATCACCAACATGCGCCCTTCGATGCCTGTGACAGACAGAGACTCTCGCAGCGCACTATCGAATTGCATGGCAGTAGCAAAATATGCGCTGGGCGTTGTCGACTCATACTGTTCAGTGAGTTGTAGCATCGCTGCTCCAATGGCATATATCATGAATAGCTTGAACATTCCGTATTGCTCTTTCTGGCCGGCGCCGGGCGCATCGTATCGCCTAGAATGTAGTTGAAGAATCTCCGCGCAGTTGATAAATGGTAGCCGCGTGTGCATGTTAACGAAGTATGCGTCAAGGAGCTGCCTCCCGACCGTATCGTCAGGCGGTACAGCCTTGCCCTGTTCAGCCGTGGGAGCCGGCGATGGTGGTTCCTGATGTTCAGTATCATGAATCGGAATCGATCTATTGGTCCAGGCAGCATCCTCCACAATAGAACTTAAGTTCTCCGTAAGGGTCACGCCGGATGAAGGGCCAAAGTATGCGCTAGCCTTGCTTTTCTCGCTAGGTTCTGCCTCGGTCTGTTCTTCAAGCGCACACGGTGTACCCGCTGGCGATCCAACAGGCTGCTCTCGGCTGGTAGATGGTAACCCTTCAGTGATGGCAGAAAGATGCGCTTCCAACGCCTCAATTCGCTGCGCCAGTGCGCCCTTGGACATCCCATGATGCCAAGATGGAGACGTCTCCAACCGCAGACAAGGCTCATTTGCCGCGGTACAGTTGTCGCAGGTGGGGAATCCAACACAGCGTTGTTTTCGTCGGTGGCAGCGACGACAGGATTTTGGGACTCTTTTCCGGACTCTCGTCGTCTGTTCCATTTAGTATGGCTAGTTGAAAGGTGTGGAATTTAGGAGAAGGAAATGTTGAGACGGCTAAGCTTCCCCGCAGTTTGGCGCTTTCGTGGCGCTAATTTTAGTATTGCTCGTTGCGTCGCCGACTGGCCGACCTGAATGCAGCGCAAGCTCCTTGAGTGCTGGATGGTGGTGACAGGATATAGTTCATGCTCTATTTGCAGCACAGAGCTCTTAAAGTTTGTTTCGATACTATTTGATTGTATTTGGGTTTAGAGAGTTTCATTCTGGAAACAAATCACAATAGAGGTTAGTGATATAGAATCAGCAAAGTGACAAATGGCGTGATCAACAGTCTACTTTGATAGGGCGCGGTGGGGCTGGCGGCAGGATTCAGTAGCGATATGAGGGTATTCAACATGATTTTTCTTGTATATCAAAGTGATCTACAAGTAAAACGACATGAAAGCTACACGATTTGATTCCTACCATAAGATAGTACCACTCCAAAATTCTTTTATTATCTCTATCCATCACTTGTGGCACCCACCGTTGTCCATTTGTTATAGTACAGTAAAGACTCGTGTATCTCAGCCAGTACTGGTCCAGCTGAGGCCATGTAATCTATTGGTCTTCGTGAACAAGTAGTCTGAGGAGAATATTGAGCCGAGATCGGAATGCCATTGATCCTTGGGGCAGGGGGTAAACGAGTCACGTCGACTCTTTTGCGTGGGTCTAGGCCAACACACTGGTGTACATCGGCTGTCTATATCCTTGTTAACAGAGAATGAAGTAGTCATTGATTGGTACATTATCTCTGCAATTGGAACCGTTAAATCTCCCATAAGAAAGGTCTCTAGAGAGGTCGCGCCCATGGTCAAGTGTTAATTTTTCACAATCATCCAATGATCTTCTTTAAGACAGCCGACAGCGAAGGGCAGAAACTGAACGAATTTATAACTTCTTCCTTGGCAGTGTTTGAAAGAGCATACTAGAATATGTAGCTTTGTTCTATGATTTGGTATCAATCAATATAGCCAACTTGGCAAACCTTATATGGCTAACGATCATAGTCTGGAACAGGTCAGGTACCTCTGGGTAGAGCCCGATAAACCGTTGCCCAGCGCCCCAGCCCGTCATGACAAAGAAAATAGCCACACATGTATCACGCTGCGTAGACTTGGAGCGAACCAGGGGTCAGTAATTAGAAGCAGACAGAAGTAGGGGAACTAAAACTTTGTAAAGTTATAAAGAACCTAGCCCGCTGGAAGACTATTGCATCAAAGCACTGCAATCCTTATTATTCTATATTGCAATCTGACTCTCTGTTGATTTCAGAGAATATGGTTCGACTTCTACTTATCGGCGTTTTCTATTTAGCAACTCTGGCTGCTGGTCGACACATACACACACTTGCCGAAAGAGGCCGAGCCATGTTTTGGTCCAAGGAAAGATTGCACTCCCTGTGTGATAACGTGAAGGTAGAAGAAGTGCAGCTACAAAATGGCAATAAGAAACAGTATATGAGGGCAACCTGCAGGGACAACAGAGGCACAACATCTGGGCGCCAAAGTCCTTCGTCGGAGGTGTTTGTAAACTCAAGGCTTGACCTGGATCAATGTCTGTCCTGGAACAGGCAGACGCACAATTTTAAATCAACAGAAGGGTAGGTATATAACCACGTTATGGCTTGAGTGTACTTTTATTTGTATATAAGTAATAACTAATGAGCATAGTGGAAATGGGATCCAGGAAGGCGGTTGCTATAGCTGTCGTTACTACGACTACAGGCGATATTACATCCCTAATATGTTCAACTTCCAGTGCATGTGTGGGAACGCGCCGGGGGGTCCAACAATAGAAACTCCGGACTCTGCCTTTGTGAATGCAGGTTTGGTATCTTTTGACATGGGTAAGTATATCTCCGTGGCAGAGACGAGACTGCTTTCTAACTAAGGCCTGACAGATGGAATAATAGGAGCCGTCAATGGCGTACTGAAATGCCATAGCAGACAAGGACAAATTATTCGTTAGCTGGTATCCTGACGATTATCTATTTGTTGAAATAGGGTTTGCTTTAAAAAAAATGCTATTGATGATTTTCTGTCGAAATTGGCTTTCTATCAACTGCCCGTTGATACCTACCATGTTATAACTCGTCAACTCGAAGGCATTAAGGATAGAATTTTCTCATTTCTATAGCATCGAGTTATACCGTACACAATATTTATAAGATTAATGCCTATAGTGTAATTTAGTTATCAATAGTCAATTGGCTCTTAAGGATAGTGTACAGAGTTTAATCTAGAATCCAGTGTATGTCTCAATGTGCCGTACATTCTCCCAGACTCGGGAAACTTACTTTTATCTGAGAGTGACTTCTTACTTCAAAGGTACATACAAGTGTGCCAGCCGTACAAACGACGGCTCAGTGGCTTCTTAGTCAACTTACCTTAGGGGTACAGAACCCCTAATACTTGATGACTCTGGAACCTCGCATTCGTTATTCTAAAAGCGGCAACGTCGCGTGAGTCTCATTCCTTGGCTCAGCTTAAGACATAATTACTTGGAATATTCCAGACACGTGTATGTCTCAGGAAGTGAGATTCTAATTCGGTTGCCGAAGATACTGTTCAAGATGCTGACTGAGGTCCCGAAGAAGGCTCGTATCTGTTTCAAGCCACCGCATCATGGGTTTACCCACCCCAGCTGCAATCTTATGTACGTGGCTCATTGCTTGAGACAACTCAAGATTAAAATCTCTCCCAGAGTATCCTCCAGACGTGGCTCAGACTCCTTATCAACATTAGTAAATTAAAACGTAAGACTTATCACCAATGCGAAGCTACGCACGAGTGCTACTTGGTGTACAAGTTTCTGCATGATATCATCACGCATGAAGATCGACCCCGTCCCAATCCGGAACGTTCCAACCCGGGCAAAAATTTATGTAAAGACCGAAAAGAGCCGAAAGGAGAGGCATTGGCATCTGGCCTATGCCTAAAGACTATCATTCACGAGATGTGATAGAGGCGGATGACGCGGTTATGTGGATAACCCCCGAATAGAAGGAAAGAGAAGGAATGTGCATTCTTCTTAAGATATCGTTGGCTTGAAGGTCAATCACACGTCACCGATTAGTGGATACTTGATTCGTTTATATCAAGTTATATCAGCGGTACGCTTTGGATAATCAAATAAAAAAGGGGGGGAAGAAATCCCCGTTCATTGATTATCAAGGGTATCAAGAGTAGTGAGCGGTGTGTTAGGTGATTTATTTGGACAAACAGCTATTGCTTCAGATTATACCGAGAGTACCTTGGAGACAAATAGTATACGGAACCATGCATGCTATTGCATGAGTCTTACAGGTAGATATCAGTACACCGCTTCAAACCATTAAGCAATGATTATGGCTACTATGATATAGTCACAGCCTGTGGCAAAGGTCACGATAACCACAGGTACTAGCATGCAACCAGGCCGCATCCTAAGCGTCCTCTGGTCTATAGTTGTAAAACCTTGGTGGATCTGCTCAAGTGAGTGATGAATACGACCTTGGTAGTATCGATCAATAACTAGCCGGTTCAAAAATCAATTGGTACAGCTATGCATCCATATGACCCTCTTAGCTCAGTCCCAGTAAATACCGAAGTACGCTACAGCATTAACCATTGGCCAAATGATGTATAGTTGTAAGGCTCAACGATCTATCAGGTTACACCTATCTCGGGCCGACAGCAGAAGTCTTCGGTCTCTACCCGGAAACTGAAAAATCGGCGTGATAAGTCTGCATCATGCACGGCGCGATTCCGTGATTCTGCAGGGAAATTAGCAGACGCTAGATCGCAAGCACTGACCATCTGCGTGAGAGAATTAAGGGGAAGTAATGAATTGTTGGGCAGCAATACATCATCAATTTTTTGCTGTAACAATAAACCGGCGAATGGGTCCAATGCGTGGTTTCTCTCTTTGATGCGTAATTTGATACACCCACAGAGGGCAGCTACTCATGAAACTCAGGATGTATATGACGCCTGTCTCCTAGGCAATGACGGTTTCAGTAGATCGCACAGACCAAACTAGTTAATTCATCTCCTTTCCACGTGGAACGCAATCAGGCTACTGCTCCTAGTTACTTTTATTGAGAGTCGGCGTCGGGCTTTTCAGAAGATTTTTTTTCTGGCGCTAGTGATTGCCAACAGGGAAGAGAAATAAATTCCTGATCAATTGATGGAGTCTGTGCACCATCCTTAATATTTTTCGTAACCGTCGGGAATTTTATGTAAAATGCAAGTGGTTGGGGATGTAACATGTTACTAGCACTTTTGTGTGATTGAGGTCGTGGTAGTGACTTAACGCAATTGTCGGTCTGGAGCAGTCTATTGATTTTTTATTATGTTTTCATTTCAGAATTATGTACCCAGAAACCTCTGCAACCCGTTAGGTACAGGGGAAAACCTACTGGTTGATAATGCCAACGATGGCGGATGGAGTAAAGTAGGGTTAGCTTATCGGGGGTGTCGGAAGAAAAAATTTGTCCAGTCCTCCCTCAGATTCTTCCCATGTGATTTATCCTACGGCGACGCATCGACAGGTCAGCCGGTGATCTGTGCTTCTTTTTGATCCTTTCTTTCTCCAGAATTGTTGATTCGCCAATGGAATCTCAGCTTTTGTCTTTTTTTTCCCCTAGAACCGAGATATCTTTGCAGACCACCTGACCTAAATCTACTGGGGCGGCAAAGGATCTAGAAGGCCGACGGGGAGTATAAAACTTTGGAAATGTCGGTGGGTGGGCGGATGAGTGGATCTAGGAACCATTAGTTGCTAAGCTAGCTCTAGTCTTGCTCGCTTACTGCACGGTGGCCACCATCCTTGAGGGTAGATATCAGTTACCTGCTGAACGGTAACTCGGTTTCCTGGTTCTAGTCCCTGCTTACCCAGGCCGATGGTACCATTATCAGGGCTGTGAGTAATTATCTGGAGGGGTACAGTCCGTTAGTGCTTATTATCCGATTAGTCGCTGGTGGCGATCGGTAAATGTGTGGGTTGGAAGTCGTTGAGTCATAGAGAGGTATTTCTCACTCGGTTTGGGACAATGTCACTTGTCTAGTCGAATCAGTCAACCATATTTCGCGAAGAATGTATATTGTTTGAGAATGGGCTTGTCAGGAGTACTATGTCCGGTCTATTTTTCACGGGGCGCCGCTGGACTGGTTACGTCGCCAACATCATACCCTACACATAATAGCATATGAATATGATTGTGAACATAAATATGAACCATAATGTTAATCTACTACAAAACCATAGACATCATTCTATGACAGCCCACAATGGCGTAAAAAGATCACCAGCTCGACGAGGGTAAATAAGCTCGGCTCCACTTGTTCCAGAAATAGCATCCCGGCCGCCCGATTATTAAGGATCTATTCATGGGCATATTTATTTTGGTAGCGGTAATGATTTTCCTCAAGATATTGCTTTGACATTCACCAATCCTATCATCTCCTCAACCCCACAGTACCCCATGATGAGAAGAAAAATATTCCTGTAGGACATCCAAGATCACATACATGCCGTTCCGGCTCGGTATCACCTCCCCCGCCAACAACGGGTTTTCAGTGCTACCATTCATTCTCTTATTTTAAGCCAGATCGAGTATTGGTCCCTGCATTAAGATGGAATGCACAGTCATCCCCGGTATCAGGGCTTGAGTCAGACTGCTAGTGAGGAATGTGTCAGGTTACACTGCGTTGACCGATACACGGCTTTGGCAGTGATAAGACCGACAGAAGTATATATCGATGGAGGAAACAGGGGGAAAAGATATATAGACCGACAGTCTTTGTTATGCAGTCAGCACTCTGTTCAAGGCAGAGTTTGTTATGCGGCATTTGAGATTGATTAGCAGGGTTATGAAAAAGAAAAGAAATAAATCAAGGTAGATTGCATGCATGCCGTGGCTTAGATACCTAGAACGCCTAATACAAACGGTCAATGAAGATTCCCCCTCGGAAGACGTTTGTATAACACCTTTCCACGTAATCTGGTATCTAAGATGGCTTTTCTGACATCATGAGAAAGCAACAGTAGAGCCACAGCTGTATCACTGTGCTACAGGAGTAGGCGCGAACCCGGGATTTGCAGTGCAATGTCTGGGGCGTCTAGTACACAGTATGATATTCCGGTCATTCCATATAAAGTACGATTTTACTAAGCTGTGATCAAGGTAAACACTGTAATACAAGAAGTCAGCTGATATGACTGGCCCGCTAATATTAACAACAAATAATTATGGAATATGGATGTGGGTCTCGCTTCTGTCAATCATGAAAATCATGCGGATGTATGAAACGAATCAGTCGAAGCATGGCTGTGTGATGATGAAGTCGAGTGGGCCATGATAGCTCAAACACCATGTAAGGAGCTGTTGCCTGAAACCGTGAGCTCTATGCTGACAGGAACAAACTTCATGCCAGTTTAGACCTGGTCTTTCTTCGCAGGATTCGGATTATTACTATGTAGAAGGGACGCTGAAACAGTTTCAGTCATCATGTCAGATAGAAATCCCGCCATGTGAATAGGAAACAGATAGGTGCTATAATTCGACAACCAGGAAGCTAATATTTTTATTATCCGTAATACTCCGTCTATCATATGGTTAAAAAAAAAATAAACACAAAAAAACAAAACAAAACAAAACAAAACAGTCAATGGTTGGGCAGAAATTAACGGTGGAAGCCTCCGGAATACCCAATCCGTCGCGCCGCTGAAAATCACAGATCCAACGGTGCCCCGTGCATATCCAGAGAGCTGATCAGCGGCAAATCTATTAGTCCCAGTTTAGAAGCTGATCAACAGGGACAGCTCCATCTGCACAGGGGTGGCCAGCCCTCGCTGATAGGGGGAAGAGCAGGATTCGTAACCGGCTTTGAGCCAGTAACTTGCATCTGGCATCTGATATCCAATCAATTCAATTCCAACCTCACCTCTAGAATTCTCCCCCACCCTGCCCCTCCTCTACTTTTCTGTCCCTTATCTCTCACTATTACCTATCAATCTCCTAGTTTTAATATCTTGCTACTCCGTACTCTAAGAAATTTCCTACCGCCACGTGACGATGACGACGGAGCCCCAGGGAGCTTCGTAAGACTGAACTGCCACCTAGACTATCACTTCTTTGTCCCCACCACCATAACTTGAAAATGTCCTGTTGATGATCACGATTGTGTGATAGGAGAAAAAGCTACCCAATCATGCCGTGCACGTCAAGCTCAACAAGCTTCGTCATTGGCGTATACGCGGTCGGCATTCTCAGGAGGTATCGGCTTCATGAACCAACATCGGGTAGCCGAACCAAAAAAAAAAATGGAAAAACACGAGATGCCAGTATCCCTTCTTATTCGCACAGCCTTATTGCCTTCCGAACAGGAACTCCGTGTCCAGACCGGCCGAACCTTCCGTGGGTCACTTTCCTTATCCTTGGGTTTCTCGTTAGCGGTCCGGTTCGGGCGCTAAAAAAGCAACTTGCTATCTCTTGATAAACTTGTTCCTTCGGATCCACTTCCGGTTTTTGCCTCTTGAGATAATCCATAAGGGAAAAAAGAAAAAGGAAAAGGAAAAGGAGGGCCTGACTAGCATTGTGTTTAGCCCTCCTCTTCCACTAACGCTAATGGATCCAGTGATCTTCTCTGCTCTAAAGGTTCCAGAAGGGTGATCGAGACTGTTCGACCGGTGGGGACAGTCTGACAATTCAGCTCAAGTTTTTCAATTTTTTCAACCGCACAATAACAAACCCGAAAAATATAGGGAGACAAAACATGAGAAAAGTAAGGAAAAGGTGACAAAAACCATGCAGAAACAAGAAGAAATTGTAGAAGAATGAAAGGGCGTCAATCCATTCTCTCCATGGACCTGACAATCTCCATCTAAGACTAAATGTGACTCCCCTTTGGCCACTTGTGGTACCATCGTGGATCCCGTGGAACCAGTGCTGTCGACCGTGGTCACAGCCCAGATAGTCGCGAAAAAAAAAGCTACTCTGACTATGCCTAAGCGTTGTTCTAGTCCATCGAGGTTGGGTGTCACATTCAGTCTTGTTTCTCTGGTGGTAATTTTGATTTTCTCTTGGTTTATTCTGTTACTCTAACCAAATCCCCTGAGGGTTGACGCCATTAAAGGAGGGGCTAGACAATTGAATCCTTTTAAACGCCGGAGTATGAACTTTTCTTGTGTTTTTGATTTTCCTATCTGGCAACTCTAATCGGTGGTTCATCTACCACTGGATATCAAATTCCCCCCCAGCTGGTGATTTATCATCGTGGCGAAGACACTGCAGCGATTTGATACAAAACTCCACTTCCCTCCAGCATCCCTCCCACATCCCCTAACATCAGACCCCGGGTATCAAGAATCTACTGCAAATTAATATACCTTTAATATTCTTCCCTTGAATGATCTTGCACCACAGGCTCAACGACAGGATAACCAATATCTTTTACGTCCGTGATTGAATATTCTCAGTCGACATTCCCTGTTTCGACTCTTAGCCACGGCTCTATATCAAACGACATCTTTCCTTCTCTTCTCCTATCGGGGTCTTTGGATCAGTCTTCCGTGTGGCAAAAAGAGGAGACCAGATATATCTCCTTCTTTCTCCTTATACCTTGCAAGTGAATTGCTTTTCAAAGCCCTACCTAGATTTGGAGTCATGTCCCCGTGACGTACTATCATTCCTTGTGGCGGGACCTCTACCCCTTCTTTCCTATCGATCCGACTCTTCTATCCGGATAGTTGTTTGCAAAGTCCCGCTACACACAGGTGATCCTGTCCGTGCTCAAGAGCTTTTCCTGTCACAGAATTCCACGAAGGTATGCTCTTGGCAAAGCTTCTTGCTAGCAATCCAGTGCTGATCTAACCGTCTCGGTAGGCTACACCCACGCGCTCACTCAGCCAAAGCTCTAGTCGCTGGCTCGACATAGAGCAAATAAAAGGCAAGCAAAGAAATAATAACTCACGAGGGACCATCGAACAATCAAGAAAAGGACGCCAAAAGAACAAAGGTAGCACAGAGACCCAAAGAATTTGCTTGGACCCTGTTTGGCGAGTCACGTAAAGAACCCAAAATGGCCGGTGGTTACTTCGATTTACCGGTCGCCTCCTCGAGGCGTTCGAGCGTTACTGAAGTACCTGAGGGGGCAGGTAGATCCTCTGCAGGGCCGCGTGTATCTTCTCTACCATCGCCCAATAGTGAAGCCCTTCAGGACCGGTCGATGGACCAGCGCGGAGCCCAGGGCAGGCATCGGAATGCCGGCATTCTCAAGAACACCAATCGCGTTAAGTTTACTGTTAGCGAATATGGGCTTGGCGAAGTTCCCTCCGGATCGACGTCAGAGAGCCTGTTTGATGGAAGGGGTACATCATTGCCGCAAAAGCCACTACCCACCGCTAGCATTCCATCGACGGAGAAAGCATCCGCCGAGTCCCAATCGTTTCCCTTGGTTGATCTCAGCAGTAGTTCACCAACGGGTGTCACCGGCCGGACGATCCACTCGCGGGCTAGCTCCCCAGGAGTCACCGGGGACAATGAGGTCAGCTATGAGAAGGGGAGGGCCATCTACTCCGCACAAGAGAGAGCTCAGAGGCTCGCGTCCCTCCTTGGCCGCTCCTCAAAGTCTCCAAAGCCAAGTCCTCGTTCGAGTCTGCCGTCATCAATAGCGTCCACACCTACAGAAGTGGCGCTACCCTCCGAGGATGGTGACGAGATTCCTATGATCAGTCTTCCCGAGAAGCAATACGACTTCTTCTCCGACGATGAAGACAACCTCATAGATAAGCGACAATCTACACGCACTGCAGAAGCCCATCAACTAGTGCGACAAATGACTCGAAAGGACTTTAACTTTTTCTCGCGCATCCGCGCTCCCTCTCCCGGCCTCCGCTCTGGTCAGATCACTCCTCTTGAGGAGAGAGACCCCGACGCCTATGTCGAACGGCCAGCTCATTATCGCGGCGGCATTCTCTCTACCCTCCTGAAGCTCTATGATCAGCCCTCCCAGCAGAACTATTCTCGAGGCCGGTATGGTCACTCCCGTCAAAGCAGTTCGTCAGGGCTTAGTGGGCGAGGCTTGTCCCCAGATCCTGGCTGGAAACCTCAGCGGCCAAGGAAGTGGTACGAGAAATCTCCGAACCAATCCAGCATTTCTCTGTCTGGATCGACTGCGAAAAATTCCTCCAGCTCTCCCATTGCCATGCTCAAGCGCTCACGAAGCATTGGTGCTATACCCGGTATGCCTAAGAGGATGGGGAAACCACAATTGGAGGACGAGATCCGGATCACTGTTCACATTGCCGAGCTCCTCTCACGCCAGCGTTATCTACTCCTGCTTTGCCGTGCACTGATGAAATACGGGGCACCTACACACAGACTGGAGGAATATATGAGGATGTCTGCTCGCGTTTTAGAGATCGACGGTCAATTCTTGTATATGCCGGGCTGCATGATTATTTCATTTGACGACGCGTCTACCCACACTACCGAAGTGAAGCTGGTCCGCTCTCACCAGGGTGTTGACCTGAGTCGACTGTCCGACGTACATCAAATATACAAAGAGGTGATTCACGACGTCATTGGCGTGGAGGAGGCCACGCAGCGGCTCGAGGAGATCATGAAGAGGCCAGACAGATACCCGGTTTGGTTCCTGATTTTGATTCACGGTTTCGCCAGTGCTAGCGTCGGACCCTTTGCCTTCAATGCTCGCCCCATTGACATGCCCATCGCTTTTGTGTTGGGATGTCTCCTGGGTATTCTACAACTGGTCCTGTCCCCTCGGTCCTACCTCTACTCGAATGTGTTCGAGATTTCGGCTGCGGTCTTGACGTCATTCCTAGCTAGGGCTTTCGGAAGCATCCGCTACAATGGAGAACGTCTGTTCTGCTTCTCTGCTTTGGCCCAATCGTCCATCGCCCTCATCCTGCCTGGGTACATGGTGCTATGCGCCAGCCTGGAGCTACAATCACGCAGCATTGTTGCGGGCTCCGTCCGCATGGTTTACGCCATCATCTACTCCCTGTTCCTTGGATTCGGTATCACCATTGGCACCGCTGTATACGGCCTCTTGGATAGCGATGCATCCTCCGAATATACATGCCCCGCCAGTCCGATCACCAACGAATATCTCCAACATTTCCCATTCGTCATTCCTTTCACCATCTGCCTTGCCGTTGTCAACCACGCCAAGTTGAAACAGATTCCGATGATGATCGTCATTGCTTTTGCGGGGTATGTCACCAACTATTTCGGCGCGAAGCGATTCTATTCGAGCACACAAGTGTCCAATGCGTTGGGTGCCTTCGTGATCGGCGTCATGGGAAACCTCTACAGCCGGCTGCGACACGGATTCGCAGCTGCCGCGATGCTCCCTGCTATCTTTGTTCTAGTCCCATCTGGACTCGCAGCCAGTGGATCCCTGATCTCCGGGATCGCCTCAGCCGAGCAAATCACCAGCAAAATCACCCCTTACTCTGTCGTTGCCAACGGCACACAGGGATTCGTGGACGCAGCAAAGAACATGACCACAACAACGAGCAACGATCAATTCCACGGAGTCGTCTTCGACATCGGATACGGCATGGTCCAGGTCGCAATCGGCTTCACCGTCGGTCTTTTCCTCGCTGCATTGGTCGTGTACCCGCTTGGAAAGAAACGTAGCGGACTGTTCAGCTTCTAAATACCACGCAAACATATATACATGCATATATACTCATACATGCATACATACTTATACATTCGCATTTTCCTTCCATCGTTTATCTATGTTGAAACTCTCACAGGTTTTTGATATTGATTGCATCATCCTCACGCAGCAAGCGAGTTTTGTCGTGTTATTCAGCGTGTCCTCTAACTATCAGCTCTTTATTTCTTTTGTCTTTCATTTTGTTTATATATTGGCGTCACATACTATCTCTCGCATTTCTTTCTCTGGTCAATTTCCTCTCACATTGAAGCCTTCTCTTGCATCTGGGATGCCACGATATGATCTGAATTGGTCGGGTTTAGCGAGCAACGGACGGGATATTCAGCGACTGTGATTGTTTCTGTTTCTTTGTATGCCTTTTTGTCATTTGTATCTGACTGTTGGAGTTTACGTTTCTGGGCTATGATAAATATAAAAATGATCGGCGCAGGTGGCTGCTTAGAATGAATGATTTCTAGCTTTTTCTGGGTATATGTTTATATCATATCATTTGAAAAATATACGCACGGATTTCTGCGGGTTCAGGTCGCAGGTTCTTTTCGGACTGTCTGAGTATCGTTTCACTTTATCTAAGATCATGTTTGGTTTCTGGATTGTCACTCAGGTCCTGGATTGAACGTTGATAGCATATCCAGCTGTACTAAAATGCCATACCTTGTACTATACTTTAACCAGCACAACGAACATATTGTCACTGTCCAGCAGTAACCACTCTTTGGTTCTTTCTCATTCAGTCCTCCTCCCACATTCACCAGATACCATAGCTATTTATACTGGCAACAATAGTATAATGTCTAGGTATCAGTATATACTCTATGCTAAATCCACTAAGACTCGAATACTACTACACCTTCACCCCAGGCCCATCGGTCTCAGTCCTCGCCAACCTCTCTCTCCTCCACCGCGGCCCAAGCCTTACAACCACCCCCAAAAGCGGCGCCGTCGCCAACATGACAAACGCAATAAAAGTAAAACACCATCCTCTCCCCATGGCATTCAACATAGGATCAATCAACGCGGTAGCACCGGCACCCAACAAACAACGAACAAAGTTATTCGACGCCGTCGCGGCACTCGCATTCCCGGGATAGAGATCCACAAGCAAGGTACTTACCGTGTTGAAGGCGCTGGTCAAGCCCAGCCCCATTACGAAGAGGATTGTGGTGGGCGCAGCAAGGTGGACGCCGAAGTGCAGGACCCATCCGAATGCAATGACGGTTAGACTGCCGATGGTTAGTAGCGGGAAGGCGAGTTGCAGACGGGCTTTTTCGATGGGGAAGTCTTTCAGGTCCCTGGAGCTGTGGTGGAGAGGGACGCCGAGTCGGTTGGCGAGGCGGCGATAGTTGTAGTCTAGGATTTTGCCGGAGAGGATGGAAGCGATTGTGGCGCCGAGGCCGAAGGGGATGTAGCAGAGGCCGATCTGGAGCTCATTGAGGCCGTACAGGTCTTCGTAGATGGACGGGATGGAGGCGCTGACGTCGTAGAAGCCGGCGAAGAGGATGGCGTTGGAGAGGAGGATTATGCTGGTGTCTTTTTGGAAGACGATGGAGAGGGTTCTGAGGGGGTTCGGGAAAGTGATCTTATGGCTTGCTTCTGGACTGTTGTTTGCTTCCTGTCCTTCTGCTCTGCTTGATCTGGTCTGATACCAGTTGATCAATGATAAATTCCATGTTGGAGGCGGGATCGAGCCGTTGCCGACTACTTTCCGCGCGGTTTCGGGGAAGAACAGTAGGAACTGGACGGCGAAGGTGCCCGCGAATATAGTCAGAAACCAGAATATGGCTCTCCATCCTAGATACTGCGCCAAAAGGCCTCCGATGACCGGCCCCACGGATGGGCCCAGTAGCGTGCCGGCAGTTACGAAGCCCATGTATGAGCCCCGCTCGGCGGCAGCTGCGATATCCGACACCACCCCCGAGCCGAGCGCAATGGTAGTGCTAATTCCTGCGCTTTGTAGGCAGCGGAAAATGAAGAGTGCGGCATAGTTGTTTTGGAGTGCAAGTCCAATATTGGCTGCTATGTACAGGATGAAACATCCGATGTAGGCCGGCCGTCGGCCTGCTTTGTCTGCAAAGTCACCCACGAACATGGGCGATAACCCTTGGAAGATCTTTTTATCGTAAGCTTTTTTACTCATGGGCAGAGGGCAAAAGGGAATTCATACCATATAGCTCATGAGGGTCAGATTGATTAAACTACTTGAGACATGTAGGTCATAGGCTAGGGTGTTCAAGGCCGGATAGTAAATCTGTGAAGACACGGGAGAAAAGAAACCAGCCCAGGATGCGCAAAAGACGATATATCTCTTCTGCGCTTTTGAAAATGCAGAATACACGACTTCGCTGGCTCTGGTCGATGTGTGAGTTAAGACGGCATTGCCCGAGGCCTCCTCCGGGGTCTTTCCCTCAGGGCCACCCGGGCTAGATAGTATCCCATGAAAGCCTTCTGCATCATGACAAGCCGAGGCCATTTTCCCTGTATGAACGCTTCTACGATAAAAAGAAAGCAATACAACTTGCGGGACCAGGGCAGAAATGAAGTGGTCCGTGCTCCCTATGGTCACCTGATCTTATACAATACTTGAGCCCTATTGCACGATCTGGTATTCCTTATAGTAGTATAGTAGATTGCGTTGGTCGATACAAATATTGACGATGGAGGTTATTAGTCGCTAGGTCAAGTACTTAGCAGCTGGCTGTGGTCCTCTGTCAGGCAAGGGTTCAACTTCGGCTAAGTCTTTGTTGTGAAACCCTAGTGTTTTAAGACATGCACGGCACTGTAGCAAACGAATAAAGAGCATTTCAAGACGTTGATAAATGAATCCTTTTATATTTCACTCTTATTGGAATGGGAATAAGAGCTGAATAACCCTTGGCAGTTAATTACAGGCGAGGGTAATGCTCAAGAAGGAAGGAACCTGCTTCACTTTTGCGCTTGCACATCAAAGGTAGGAAATAGCCTTGTAATAACTCTGGCACTGTGGTATGGAGAATAAGAGGGCCCGTAGGTGTAAGCACATTCTACGATCCAGACAACCGATTAGAAAGATCACGTCCCCTACCTTTCATCCTTCTATCCTTGGGCGGTCAGTAAAGCGTCACATCAATCGGTTGACAATCGTATGCATTGCCATTGTATCCCAGGAGTCAACATATTGGACAAATCAACCAACCAAGTGTCTGATGAAATAAGATCATGAAGATTCTCTCGGACTAAGAAAACAGCTTATCCATCACTGTGAAAACGTTGAAGACAGCTGCAGAGAACGGTGGCCTCCGGGTCGGTGATATCGTGCGCCATTTAGGATAACGGGAAAGGCATATCATTGCTAACAATTTGGTAAGGAAGCCGTGTGTGATATTGATGAAGAGCCCATGATTATGGATGTACTCTTTGACGGAAGAGGGGGCAGCCTGCTCATGACTAAAGACACAGTCAATTCAGTCGTCGCGAAAGGGCATAGTAGAGGGCCCCTATCGCTCTATGTAGGAATAATCCGAGGAGCAAATGCCGGCACCAGAGCATGGATAAGAGACAGAATATTTCCTATAAATAAGACTCTTTCGTTCGACGTGCTTGCTAGGAAATAAAGGGTATGACTCTCATAACGAGGACACAACATAGAGCTGTGATATCTAGATGACAGAAAACGCGACATTATTGCACTGTGGCTAGTCCAATCCAGCATGTCGACGTGTGACTCTTCGAATATATGCGAATTATCACCCACCTGGATCGAGGTACTTGAATGGGTAGGGTGCGTTCCTGTTCTGTCGAGACAAGGTCACAGGCACAGTCCGGACTGGCGACGGGATGGGAAGAAGAAGGTAGTGTGGGATTGATGGGTGCTAAAAATGGACGATGTATGTATATCGTACAGTAAGGATGCAAAACGTTTTGTTATCAGAAGCATTGCCCAAGGGCAAAAAAGAAATTTGACTCCGATACGGGGAATCGAACCCCGAGCTGCCGCGGAACTTGCTTTCATTTTATGAAAGGCGGCGATGTTAGCCGTTACACCATATCGGATGTTATTGATAAGAGTTGGTCCTGTTTGGTTTGATCAAGGGCTTGGCACCACCAGTGGCTATCTGTCTTCGTGCGTGGCTCCATAGACTTATTCTAATCATCGAATTTATAGAATTGTTGTATAGGAATTGCGTAGTGTTTAGTAACTTCGACCACGTTATTTTATTCTTTCCGGTAACTAGAGTTGGTTTTAGCCCGAGTAATCAAGGAAGAGTAAGAGAAATAGTCATCTTATTGTAAGATTAATTCTTAAGAGGCACTCCTCTAGATAACTTCATTCTTTTATGCAACAGACGTATAGTAATGAGAGAGTAAACATAATTGACAGGCAGACATAAGCATGATACAATACATCAACGATATCATGAGTATATTCTATCAACGTACTTATTAACTTATAATAGGCGACAGTAAGAGCCAAGCCTAGATGCTCAATTGCCTCATGGTTGGTTCCTCGATATCCTGCGATCCGACTGTATTTTGCAGACCGTTTCGAGAAGTTCGAACCCACGGTAAAACTTAAATGGTAGGTTCTTTTTTTTTTAAGAGAGTCCCTTCACAAACACCAGGCCTCATTAAATCATGTAACCACTATTTGCAGGACCCAAGGATAGACAATTCGAATCTCAAAATTCAGTGAACCTCGGTCTGTGATGATTTATCTTGCGTCACATCAACAACCCCGCTTCCGTCGCACGTTGGGCAGGTCCTTTGCGACTCGTTGTTTGTGGCAGATGCCAGGCCGTACAATTTGAACACCAAGGTTATGACGGTCGGGGCGAGAAGAAGATAAATAAGAACGAGGATGATGAAAGTTTGGAAAGGCGCAGCCTCCAGTGAGTCGATGATGAAAGTGCCGAACGAGCGCATAAGTGTATCCAGGGATGTCCCAGGTGCCATCATTCTAGTGGGAAGCCAGGTACGAGAGAAAAACCTCTCGTCCA